AAAAAAAAAACAACTTTGGAAGTGACATTTAGGAACTAAGTAATTTTTTACCAATATAAACATTTCAATTATGAATATAAAAAATGGTTGATGAAATATTATCACAAATTCAATACAGTTTTTCATACATCGAATCATCATTCACAGCACAGTAGAAAAGGGGGAAACAGTTGTAAAACATCTTGGACGTTATGAACTTAAGGCCTATGTGTAGCTAAAGAAACACAGCCACAGTGTAAAAATTCAAAAACTTTTTTCTGAGATATCCTCACAGTTTAATCCCAAATCAAATAGTGAATAAGTCAGAAGTGAATTTAATAGGTCTATGATTAGCACTGTGGGGTGTAAGTGCTAGGAAATACTTAAGTTTCAGAGACCTTATATTATACCTCCCTGGTGGGGTCAGCTGTAATATATAACAACAAAAACCCTTCCATTTCTGTATTTGGCAAGGTCTTTTTCTTATTTTGGTTTAGGTCTAGTACTAAGTCAACCTAATCCTGCCCCAATGGGGAAAGAGAGGCCCCGAACCCCAGGAAAAGATCACCGAAAGTCTTGGTTTATGTTTTAGTTAGGCCCACTTGCAATTACAGACCCAGGCCACACAGACATTTAATCCGGCACCGGTTGCATCGACCACCAACACAAGGTCAAGAAATTGAAATTTGTTAGAAGTAAATATATATATATAAACGATAAAAAAAGACACCTTATAAACAAGTTTATGATTTATATTTGTGTTGATCGGAGCTGCTTTCATTTGACAATTTCAGCCATAAGACACGCCACTGACTGGTCCGGTCCTTATATTATTCATCTCGGACAGTCATTTTTTTAAGTCTCAGTTGGTGGATTTATTTCATAGATTCCGTCTGTTTGCAAAATTAAATATTCTTTTAAATAGGTCACAGTTATAATGGCAATATCTCATTCTGGTATGTTATTCATAATAAAGGTAACGATCGTAACTAAATATGAAAACTTGATTGTTATTATTAATATTGTGTAGGCTAATCTTCATATGACAAAGTCTCAAAACATTTCAAATGCAAAAAATATATCAATCGAGTGTATAATTAATGGAAAGAGGTGCAGACATAAAAAAAAAAACAAAAAAAAAAAACAAGGTCAGAGGTGGACCACAACCATACAGGTCGACCACAACCATACAGGTCGATTATGATGCACCTTTACACAGATTTAATTCAAAGATTAGTGAGAGTTTTACATCGATGTGGATGCAAATTAATATCTGCCAATTTCTGTGTCAATATCATTATATTAAACTCCAGTGACCTTATTCTGGATTATCCAATTCCTTTGCAAACTTGATTGAATCACAAAGAATAGGCCCTAATCCACGTCTGCGATTAAAATACCAATTCATAGAATTCACTTTGTATATATGTTGGTACTGTATTGTTACTTGCAAATTGTTACAGGAAATTTAGACATTTGCCTATTGGAATATTCAGTAGCGGATTTAGGAATTCAAAAAAGGGGAGACAGAGAAGGTTTCTTGACAGAGGAGAGTCTGGCTTTCCCCTCCCTCAATCCGCCACTAATATTATCGCGTTTATTTTCTAGAATTCTGTGAAAGCTGTATGTATACCTTGGTCAGGTTAAGTAAATATATATGTGGTGGAGCTGCTGGTGGTGGACAAAAGGGTAGTTATGATGGTGTTAATAGTTAATACTATAGAAAACTTACAGTTGACTGACTGAGACGATGAAATAATAAATATCTATACTGAATTCATCACAATGTGTCATTTTCATTGGCTGTGCACTACAGTAGGTGCAATCTTACGGATCCATATATTGTACCCCTCTCCAACTGATAAAAAAAAAACCCAGCATACCAGCATAACCAGAGATGCCAAATTGTTCTTAGTTAATTTTATACGGATCATTTTGGTATATGCTAAAGAAACTCCTGTACCTGTCGTTAAATACTGACTGGTACCCTTGTGTATAAAAGTGTTTGTAGGCCTATCTATTTTGAAAATTAACATAATTTGATCCTTTTTAATAAGCAATTCAATTTTAATTGCATATCGTTTAATTAGTATTTCCAGATTTCACCTTGACATTATTAGTATTAAAAAAAAATCACAGTTACCATTATTTTTAAAGCTTTGAAAATTAGTACAGTAGAACCCCTCCTTCAGGACATCCCTATTAAGGGGACACTTTACGTGAAACGAGGAGAAATATCTGTTATCTATAACCAGCCCCTATTAAGGGTACACCACCATTAGGAGGACGGGGACACTTTCCTGAGTGTTCCAAATGGTAAATACATTATTGTATCACTAATTTTCTGTTTCATTGTATCACTACAACTACAATGGATTCAAAATAATATTTAATTTAAATCTATATTTTGACAACTTTTGAGTGATAAAATGATCTTTTCCTTGACCCTTTAAAATAGATATTAGTATATAGGCCCACTGTGTGTGTTACTTTGTATTATCAGGGAACAGTGAAATTTCACTGTTTCCTGGTATTATAATCATAGGATTTTTTCTGCATACTCAAAAAGATTTGACTCTTAATTATTTTTTTTTCTTGTGTAGGCCTACTTTCATAGGTTTCAAAAACATACCATAACCTTCACCCTGATTTCTAAGTCTTTACCGTACTCTATTCATTCTGAATAAAATAAAACTTCAAAGAATATATATATGACTACGTGCCAAAACCCCTATTAGGGGACTTTTTGGTTAGTGTCCCTTTAATAGGGGTACCGCTATTCACGGGCCACCCCTATTAAGGAGACACTTTTGGCACGTTTTGGTCCCGTGGGTGTCCCCTTAACACGGGATCTATTGCATAACACTTTGAATATTAATATTAAAAGTGGCGGATCTAGGAATTTGAAATAAAGGGGCCCAGAGAGGGACTCTTACAGATGGAGAGTCTATACCACGTCTCAGCCGACTGGGGCTGAGGGAAGAAAATATATGAACGTGTCATCCACTAGATAGCCAGAAATTGTAGGCCTACTTTCAGACTTACAATTTCAATATACATTTTTTTTGTTCTCCACATTTTTTTTGATTTTTAAATTTTGGGTGGGCGAGGGGCGCCGGCTGCCCCGTTATGGGTCTACGTTCACCGACAAAAACACTCACATATGTGAAATGAAACTATTATAATGTACATTACAAAATTTCGAGGGCCCTAGACCGAGAATCATTTTAAAAGACAAAGAGGGAGGGGAGTAGACTATTGCACCTGACGACTCTGCAATTACTGTCCGTATAACACACCTAATCATTGCAACCTTTCGTTATCAATCATAATAATAGGTTAGGCCTAATAGTAATTATCATAAAACTAAAATGTATTATAATAATTACAACATAATCATATATTGCATGTTCCACATATGGCGACATTACTGGATTGTCGACCCTTCCCAGTGTATGACAGGGAAAGGGGCAACATTGATGATGCTCATCATTCAAGTTATCATCATAAGACAGTATATGGCCATCTTCAAATCTTTTTAGACTGACTGATCAATAAGTATCATCTTGACGTCACTGCGTACGTGGCCGCGTTGACTCATATACCACGCGCAGCACGTGATTTTATTCTAAGTTGTGTCCCGTAAACCACACCGGAAAGCCACCCGGATATCAGGAACAAAATGATAATGTTGCATACAGTTTATGCGAATATATTGTGATTCTATGAAACGGCTTTAGTGAAGTCTAATACTGTTTCCGATTCGCCGCCGCTGGAATATCATCGGCGCACATCACAGAAAGTACAGAGGCACAGTCATCGCGCAAATTGCGATATTTGGGGAACTACCCTCAATACAACAACAACTGACGGGTACCGCAGCCCGTTGATCATACAAGAATACTTGGAGACATCGTATTCTCAACCTTGGGCATGGATAATAACATTGTTTAGAAGAAAGGTAGGCCTGTTTACAACTTCTGTTCTGTTCTTTTTAGGTGAATATGGTGGCATTTGCAGTGTGTTATCGTTCCATTCTTTAAGCCCAGTGAGTACACTTATCATTTGATTCGGGCAAAAAGCTCATCTCACCAGATGGGAGTTGCGTGTCGTGGGTCTTATTATATTCTTCTAGTTCTATATCTCATATTTATTTACTTCCATTATCCAGTATTAGTACTGTAATAAGTCTGAATGACCCCATCATATCTTCAGGAATCATTTGTATGCGAATTTTGAATTTGTAAAAATATACAAAAATAAATGTAAACAAAATATAAATAGGCCTAGGCCTACTTATACTAGGCCTAGAGACACGGGGTCTATTATTGTATTACTATTAATAAGGCCAAGTTGATGATTATTTAAAATTGTTGATATTTCAATGGATGAAATGCAATACCGTACCATAGAGAGAGCCTGAGGTGTCACCAGAAAGGCCTGTGTATTGACTTGGGAGTTTTTGATAAGTGGTATGAGTAGGCCTTCATAACCCAGCGTGTTATTGTTTGATATGAAGAGTGTATGAATGGATGAATAAACATAGTTGTTAAATTTCATTGTTTATGATTGAACGTCGCGGCATGGTACGTTAGGCCGTAGAGCAAAGAGACAGTTTCTTTGCTCTATGGTTATGCCTACAGTCAGCTATTTCACAAGCTATTATTTTGATGTTAATAAAACTATAGATCTAGCTAGGATTGTAAGTAGGCCTAGGACATCATAGCGACATAGTCCATGTTGTTTATATGAATTAAGATGGCGGTACCATGTTATATTGAATGCATGCAATGAAGATTAAATTCCTTTATAAACTGTTATTGATAGTACTATCTACCGGTAGTTATATGCTGGTATTGTAGTGGAATTGAATGGTAAATGAAAGACTTCAAAGAGAATGATATTATGAATGTAAAATAAATATAAACAATTGAATTTTAATAGCAATCATATGGATATAGAATACGGTATAAAAAAGAAAAAGTAAAGTAAATGATAAGGATAAAAAAGCAAGTAACAAAATATCTACACTGAGCAAAAAAAAAAAAATTGATTATGATATCATAGAATTAATGAGCTGAATCATTTGAATAATTGATGACATGTGACCACCTGGCCTACTACTATGTAGTGATGACGATGATGACATAATTCATGTCGAAAAATATTGAATCCCAACACGATGGCATGCATTTCGATACTTGGAGTAGGCCCTGTATTATATTATCTTATGTAGTAATAATATCAATAGAAATATTACGGTAGTACAAATGATAAAATGATGATAATAATCAAATGGTAACAATGTACTGTAATAAGTTAGTAATAATGGTAATAAAATAATAGTAATAATAATATTGTATAATAATAATGTAATACTATTTATATGACTATAAAATAATGACTAAAAACATATATTGTATATAACAGTAGTACAAATGATAAAATGATGATAATAATCAAATGGTAACAATGTACTGTAATAAGTTAGTAATAATGGTAATAAAATAATAGTAATAATATTGTATAATAATAATAATGTAATACTATGTATATAACTATAAAATAATGACTAAAAACATATACTGTATAGTTTCAAGTTGATGACTTGCTTGTAAACTGATTACTGTGAAATATACACTATTTATAGCATAGGCCAACTTCTGGTATTTTAGCTTTTGAGTCATCTGACAACATTATTACTTTACATCATGGGGTTGTGATGATGAAATCACTATTTGTGAAAGAGAAAGAAGTGACTCTCAAGTGTGTAAGCAACATACAGCCAGGCCAATCAATGAAGTAGAGCTAATGATGTTCACATTTTAATACATAGAATCAAAATATAGTCCTATTATTATTATTATTATTATTATTATTATTATTATTATTATTATTATTGTTAATAATAATAATAATAATAATAATAATAATATTTATCATATTTTAAGTAGTAAAATTAGGCCTATAGTAGTAGCAATAATCTAGTAGCAGATAGTAGCAGTAACAACAGAAATAGTAAGTAGTATATTAGTAAATATGTGTATTGTATATTTTATTGACTATTACTATATTAGTATGATTATTATAGATTATAATAATTATTAGTAGTATTATTTTACCCTGAACAAAATGGCATTGGCTGCCTCTTCCTGTATTGTGGTGAACATGTTGTTTTAGGTATTGATTTCTATTGACTGTCATTACTGGGAGGATACCATATTGCTCTAGCTGCTTAATATGTTTACCACCATACACATTGTCAACCATTATGTGTAATAGTACTCATATTCGATACTATGCTTATCCTATCATAAAAAAAACCATGCATAATACAGTGGTTTCACGTGTTATTTTAAATTAGGGAAATGAATAGAACACTTAATAAATTAATGTGTATGGTACTATATCTAAATCAAGACTAGATAAATGCCAGTGAAAACAAAATCGAGAAAAAACTCCTAATGAAAATTGAAATAACAGTTCGAATTACTCATTTAATTTATGGTTATTCAGATACGTTTTCGACTTAATCTACCCTGTTTCTGCAAGTAAAAGGTACTTTATATAGTTGTAGGCCTATGCAAATGAACGATAGGCCTATTATCTTCCACTATTTGGTGATGAGGAACATAACTCGTTCTAAATTTTAGGCCTAGTTGAAAATAATGATTTTAAAAAAAAAACAAGTTTAAATATTGATGTTTTTAGACTTCCATGGTGGTAGGCTATGGGTTGTATTTGCTTTTGTTAATCCTTAATCCTTATAATAATTTATTTCGGAAAAACGCTTTTAAAACAGCGGCACCCATTATAATGGTGCATCCAAAGTAACAAAATGAAATGTACAAAGAAAGTCGCAAAACCAAACAAAGGAATATACAATAAAAAAGCATGAAGTAAAAAGTCTAACCAAACCATTAAGGCACTCATCACAATGATGGTGCTTCAAGATTAACAGAATAAAATACATAGTGAGATGCAAATCAATAAAAAGGAAGTACTGTACACACACACACACACACAAAAAAAAAGGTTTACACGTCACTGAAGCTTTGGTTTTGGTAAGCTTTTATGTTACAGTAGGTACGATTTGTATGGGCTAAATATAGAATGGATGAATGAATAAACTGACGATAAGTGTTGCAACTTGCGTTCCTTATTACGAATGTGAATTTTTATACGAATTATATTGTTCTCAGGTTGACCCTTAGGCTGTATGACCTAACTTCAGTTAATCTCGTCTATTGATATGAATATCAATTGTAATGTCACAGTTCAAGGACCTAATACATGAACCAGACCATCAATTTGTATCCATTCTGCAATAAAATGTGGTAACGGAAAATGTTATGCCAATAAGGTTCAATTAAAAGTAACGAAACAACTCAACATTTGAAAACAAGAGCGTAACTCGACGTGAAAATATGATATTTCTGAAAGAATTTCATTATAAATACCCACAATGATAATAGCACGTTATGTAGGCCCATCTCTCTGCATAAATGTTTCTATTAGTCTTCAAAAAAGTGTTCTCCGAAACGACGTGATGTGTACTTTAGAACATCATCATTCATGATTTCATTTGCAGACTCGGATATAATTTAACCTTTTGGTTCGAAAGGCTTGCTGGGTACAACAAACTTCATAACCATAAGATTTTTTGAGCAATAACATCCAGCAAATCTATAGAAAAATGTCAATGTAGCTTCGTAAATCAATAATAATTTACTTGGGCCTATGCCTATTAATGTGCAGTTTACAATATTAAGTTCCACAATCTCATTCTAAATGATAAGACATGGCAGTGAGTTATTGTTTTATCGTGAAAGAATGCACCCAGAATTCTCATAAGCCTACTTCATAAGTTGGGTACTGGCTCTGCTCATAAGAAACATTCAATCTTTGTGTCGTTATAAATGAGCAATTTGCAAACTCTTACCCTCGCTGAACCGAATAACGACGAATAATGACGACCGCGAATAAGTCCAGGTCCGTGGCCTACTGTTTGTTGTAACTGGAAGACCGTAAACAATAATTAAAAATAGTTTAAATTTAATTACACAGGTAAAACCGAATACTCAGGTTTTCCTAAGTTACGTATTTTTCCTACAAACTAATGGTATTTGTAGGCATAATGCGTATGTTTATTGGCGTGGAAATGGGGTGTTTTTAAGATCTAATTTTCAGTTGAAACCTAACTTTGGCATAAAAAATGTATGAAGTACCGGAAAAGCAACGCAAGCGTATTGGATTTCGATTGTTGTCTATTAACTCAAAACAAACAGTTAGGCCTAGGCCTTTAATATAACATTACGCAATGCTATTTATCCGGCCATGCAATAATGACGAACAAGCATAAAAGTGACGCGTGGCTTGAGTTTATAATCCATAGTTCATTTTGATATTGGACATTGGACCTTTGTTTGATGGTAATGTATATCGATTCGGGTGTAGATTGCTCTGTCCACGTATCATAAGTATAAGCAGTCATTTCGATGTTAGGCTTACGTACATATGATAGACCAAACAAAATTAATTATATCGCTCATAACTGTAACATAAGTTAGGCCTACGAATGATGGAGAAAACAACTCAAAATAAAAAGATCGACAAAATAAACTTTCAATTGCTCATTAAAAAGAATCACATAAGTTAGGCTATCAACTCTAGCAACCACAGATAACAAATCTCGTTCTTTTAATACTGTTTGAAATATAGGCCTACAAGTAAGAAACCCAATTTTTGTTTTAAGAAAAAAGTTTTATTAGATTTACGTGGTAAGAGGCCCATTCATTGTACATGCTCGTTCGAGGGGTTGGGCCGGTGCGTGACGCACCTCCGAATCGGAAAGGGTCCACATTTTAAGACAGACGAAATTTAACACACCATTTGTTATTTTCCATAGTATATATATTCAAAATGAATCTTAAATATTTAAATTTTAACCATATATCTGTCATTATGCAGCCAGTATAATTCCAAAATATTGTTGTGTATGACCTCGCCGCTAGGTGACCCATGCTCCAGCCTATTTAGTCCACTTCGCACATCCGCCCCAACCATATGGTAATCCAGATACGGCCCATCTTATGAATAAAATACAGGTACCCATCCGTCACGTGTGGCAATTGGTTGATCAGTGATAATGCACTTCATTGACATGGGTCTTTTATTAGGGTGGATGGCTACACGTGCTAGGACATGACATCGAGTAGGCCTACCTATTGCAATTGTCATTCTTGTATATTGAAGCAATGTAGGCCTACAGTACTGTACAACATTGTGGTTAAAACATTAACTTGTAGGCCTCAATAGAAAACGAAAGGAATGGTGAGCAAAATAAGGTAAGGGCATTGAAACTGGGTGGGTATGTATTGATCGTAATCATTTTTGACATACAAATTACCATATAGGAACAAATGCAGTTAATATAATAAAATGATCCATACTCATCAAAGATTAAGTTTCGACAAGCAATACGTCACAGGGTTCGAATCCCACCGAGGGAATTTTTTAGACAACGGATTAGAAACTGCTTGGTTGAGAAGTTTCATGATAGCCTAACATCATTTGTTTCTTTATTTTAGCACTGTTTCTATGTCTATTACGGTCCACTAAAATTCATTAGTTACCGTACTAAGCTAACCAAAGCTGGTCCCATTTGGTAGTGTAACAGTAGAACATCCGCCTCGGTAATTAGTCATCTACATTAGTTTGAACCCTTGCAAGTGAGTCATTTCGTTCCTAGGCCTATTGGAGTCAATGTATTTTAAACTGATGTATCATAATAACGACAGTTTCCTAAGTTCAATGCAATAGAGCAAATAATGCCCTGAAGAACTAAACGGTTATTATAAAATTAATTCAGCTTCACACTAGTAAATAATATAATATGCCTACAATAAGATAAATTTGCCGATCACAGGAAAAGACCAACAAGTGAACAATCTAGGCACCCCTTATGAAAAATAAATAAAATATTTTCATTTCAAGAATTGCGCATAATGGTCAAAAATTTACACACCGATAATTATGACAGCGAGCTGCAAACATTATTCTTCATTAAAATATTAGGCTATATAATTATGTTAATATAGGCACTAACTAATGCATTGAAGAAAGGTAGGACTACATTCTAATACTGTTCTATCAAAATTAATTCCTCAATATTTACAGGCCCTTATCTTATGAATGAATTATCAAATATCACTGGTAGGCTGATCTCTCAGTTCAAAGAATAATTAAAGAGATAGCTATATATCTGATTCTTCAGTTTGTTACGGTACATCATTACGCATATTTTTGTTCTACCATCAAATTAATTCCAAAGTCCACCTAATATTCAAAAGGCAAAAACTGACAACTATGTGATACGGTATTGATTTTGCTTAGGCTATACTCTCCATATTAAACATGTAGCCTAACAGCGACCTGCAGATTTGCAACAGAATTTTATTTTCCATGGCAATTCCCGGAACGGATTTTGTGGACATCGTACCGTCTTTGGGTGGTTAGTTTCCTTTTTATATATTGTTTGTCATCGTCACTTTTAATACTTCAGTACTTCTTTATGTAGGCCTACAGGATTTAGTTTCCTGTTCACATTGGCACTCTCCATGGTATCTATAGCCTTATTGTTTTCAAAATCACAAAACAGTTAGATCTACTATGAAATAACACATAACTCGTACGAAAATTTAGAGGCGGACTTACTTATATTGCTTCTAAGCATTGAAATTAAAATTTAGTATGATGTTGACATTTCTGGCCTGTCCACCCTGTCCACAGTGGCTCGTGTGCACTATAAAGAACCCAGCACATCCTTCGGGACGAGTAGGGGGATACCCCGGTGTACTGGAACAGACAGCCCCTGTAGTGGACGACGAGAGTTGCTGGTACCGGGTTACCGGGTAGCACAAACACGAAGGGACCCTTGGGGCGAAGAAAGTCATTGATCGAGTTCCTAGTCCACATATCAAGCGCCCTGAGCATCTTACATTAGATGGATATGTGCGATATATAAAACTACACTATTATTATTAAATAAGTAATAATTTAATGATATGGCACGTCCGCCAATCGATGCGAGATTAGTGTCCATTTTGTAACTAAACTCTAATTTCTATAAAATTGTTACGCTGTCATTGCATGTTTTTACTGCAATCGTCACACGGCGTAGCTGTCGGATCCCCGAGACGTAATTTATCTCGGTTTCCATACAATCGCTACACCCTATCGGCGACAGTTGCCGACAGGTGTCGGGAAGGTTGAACCTGATTCAACTTTGCCGATTTTGTTGCAGACGAATCGGGGTGCCTTCTCGGTTGTGTCGGGGCAGCTATGCTGTGTAGCGACTGCTGTAGCGATTGTATGGAAACCTAGCTATAGGAAGGCTCTCCGATTCGAACGACCAATCAGTGTTGCCGAAGGCTGTCGGCGATGCATCATCGGCGATAGTGTAGCGGTTTTTTTGGAAACTGGCTTGTTTATGCTGACAGCCAATAAATGCATATACCAGTACAGTATTCCGATTTGAACGTACTTGTTTTGTGTGCGAGAATCTGAAATTACACCGTAAGGCTTATGTTTTATATGGCTGATGTATATGTTATTGGCAATGTCAACATCATTATTACAGTAGATTCGTCGGTTAACTAACGTATATGCTCGAGATAGACATCCGATGATAGCTTTCATTTCGAGTCAGGCTTTTTGTAATGGACGAGCAGGTTATACTGTTTGACACCGAGTAACATGCATTACCGTTAAGCCGGATTTTATGCCGATAATCAGAACTAACGAACGATAACAAATTGTATTTACAATAATATAGCGCTAGATCTTATTAATATTTGCTTAATCTGGTGCTTGGAGAAAAGAGCGTTCGGAACAATAAGCAATTGGAGTTATAATATATATTAGTTTTCAGTGTTTCACAATCGTTGTATGAATTAATTTTTAACTGTTTTATTTTGTTCAGCAAATATTTGGTGTTATAGGCCATTTTAAAGGGGTTAGCGTCCCTATCGTATTTAGTAGCTGATACGCCATTGTACCATCGCATTAAGCCGGTCCACTTGGCGAATTTATTCGTTCGAATCGAAAGCGTCGGTTCATGCGCACGCGCGTTTACATTCCTATCGGAGTTTTTGCGAAGTGAAAAAATGTGCAACCAATCAGAGCTCAGAAGGCGAACCGACGCTTTGATTCGCGCGAATAAATTCGCCTAGTGGAAATCCAGCTTTATGGTGGTTCCCGTCGCCGCTAACTTGTATGACGCTACATTTGGTACATCCTTATTAAGTGAGCCCGTTACTATGCACACAACACTGATCACCACATAAGAGGTTTTTTTTTCTTCTTTTTAACAAAATCATCAACAGTTTATGTCCGGCTATGTTAATCCGACTTAATTCATCATCCGTTCATTGCCTCGTCGCGTCATGGTCATCGTCATTGTGTTCAGTTCCGTCGATGAATACGCACAGTATTCTATAACAAAAACATTAACACCAATTAACTTAGGATATTCTTATTTCTTTATTACAGGATAAAGCAGTTTAGATATAACCGGATTGCATGACAGAGAAGCTTATAAATCAACCAGGTCCTAATTTTAAAGGTATGCGTATAGTACAGGATTTATTATTTTTTTTAAAATAATACTCTATTTCAAACTTTAGTAGGGGTTTACCTCATGACAGATTATGTGTAAGGTGTGTTGGTTGCAGCTATTGGAGTGTTTTCCTGTTGTCGATCTTGATATCGAGATACTTGGTGTGTAGTGCTAACCCTTACCCTTATCAAGCGTCTGATGCTCAATCTCTGAGTTCGATGAATATATCCATGGAGATATATAGTAAACTATCAAAGTCGTTATTAACTGCAGTGTTTCATTTAGCAAATAAGGTGTTTCTTAAGTAACACTCCATCAAGGTCCTTCGACTTCAATAAACGTGTGTCGTAAAATTTTACAACTTCTGAAGTATAATTCTGTGGATGCTTAATTACTCATAATTAAAAGTAAATAAAAACGAGCTTGAAGGGATCATCCAGCAATATTTGCATCAATGTTTAACGGCCCTGACAGATCGTTATTTGCTGGAAATAGGCATTATAAAGCACGTCTAAACACAGGATTTCTACATAGGCCTATAATTGAATTGTTTCAGTTCGTGTCTCATTGAAAGTTTTTGTTTGATTATTTTATTATGAGTAATTCAATGTTTTAATAATTGAATCTTGGTGGTTTTTTGTTTTTTATTATTATTTTATCAGACATTAAAATTTGATTTTTTTTTTTCGTGTTCCAGACTGTACCAACATGGCTTCTGTTAATGGGCATGCTGAGCCATATATGAATGGACATGCTAATGGTGTCGCCGAAGAAAAAACTCGGGTTATACTATGGACGGTGCCGCGTTCTATTTCCACTGCATTCGAACGTTGTATGGGCGGCCTAGATAATGTTGAACTTATACACGAGCCGTACGTAACAGCGTATTATTTCGGTCCAGAGAAACGTTACCATCACGCGCCATTTATGCCTACGGATGAGGGTTACTCCTATAGTGACGTCAAGAAAAAACTAGAAGCAGACTTCGAAGACCGAGATGTAGTCTTTTGTAAAGATATGGCCTACGCATTGGACGACAAATTTGAAATGTTACCGAAGGGGTATAAGCACACTTTCTTGATACGAGACCCAGTTAAAGCGCACGCGTCCATGCATAAACTTTGTACTAAGCCGTGGCTGCTGAATTACAGCCTAATAGATTTAGTAATGCCACAGGGATACGCATTCAAACAACTCTGGGATCTGTACGAACATGTTACAGAGGTGTTGAAGGAGGACACTGTGGTAATCGATGCGGACGATCTCCTCTGCTATCCAGAGCAAGTTATACGTCGCTACTGCACAGCAACCGGCTTACAATTCAACAACGGAATGCTGGAATGGAAATCAAACGTAGACATAACACAGAACTGGTCTAGTAGTCTAAAGCTGTTAAACTATGTAGGTGTGTACGAAAGCGCAATGAAAAGTAACTCTTTCTTCAAACACACACCGTGTGCCAAACGTAAAAAAGATACCGACGTATCATCCCTTCCAGAGGACGTACAAAAGGCTATTGAAATATCTCAACCGTTCTATGATAAATTATACAGAGTACGAATAATTCCAGAGGATTTAGAGACAGAAGTATAAGATGGATGCCGTATTAGATCATTTACAACTCCCCACATTTTAATTATAATATATTTATCTTAACACTTAGCCTATAGGCATAGTTGTATAATGTAGTTTAAGTTAAGATGGATCAGTGATTCATTGATTAAAGTGGATATCTTCCCTGTTCCCATTGTATCGCTTATGAAGGCACAGCTACGAATTCGAATATGTTCGAATGCACCATGACACGCTTATGACGACATAATTCATTTGTCTCCCGTATGACCCGATAATATTCTATTGTTTTTAAAACAATTACAGTTGTACTTTTTGGGTTTGTAAAACTGGTAAGTCTTCTCAGTGTTATTTAAAAATCAACCAAACCCCAGACTAAATATCACCATTTCGAATAAAATAAAAATTTAAAAAACAAAATAATCGAGGAAATGAGTCAATTAATCTCATTATATAGGCCTGTATGGTTTGATTCCAAATTAAAGCAACTCAGACACGTTGACAAAAAAGAACAAAAAAAAAAAACCGCAGACAACGCTAATAGTAGCGTTGTTTTACGCTTTTGTCTATGGGTCTAACATTGGCTCAAGTGACACAATCCTACACACAACTCACAAACTTCAGCAATTAATGATCGAAGAAATGTTTGATTCTCAGTGTGGATGTATGTATGTGGATGTATATAATATCAATAGTCGCACAGGGAATGCTAAATATGAATTATCGTAAAACTCCTTAAAATCGAACAATATTATCGATGTAAAAAGTGTAATGATGAATTCTGGTGTACGAACAACTTTGCAAAATTAAACAATGACAGTAAACGATCAAATTCATCGTCAGTTTCTCATGCAGAATTTCGTATATAAAACCAAACGGGCGTAGGCCTACTCGTAAAGTAATATATACATACCACCGCGCAATATTGAACAATTTGGCAACTCCTTGTATATCTGCAATTTAAATTAGTTGTAGCCTAGTATTTATTAAAGGTAAAACTCTACCTATGAATGCACAATTTGAAATCTGCTAATACCGAAAGGAAATCAATGCAATCAAAAGAAGTTACAATTTAGTTGTACAATCATTTTACGAAAGTTATTTATATAAGGCAAATATTATGGGCATTCAAAATAATATTTTAAATAAACAATAACAAATAGTGGAGCAGTAGCCCACAGTGAAGTATTACCACAAATGTGTTTTAGAGAACTGTGGGCCTATATACAAGGACGTCTAATGTACACACAATGCAAGTAAAAACAAGACCGATTTACGAAAAAAATTGGCAAAGCATTTGCTTGATACTAGTTCTGTAAATATATTAACAGTATATAGATTGCTACCTTGTTTCATAAGTGTTCTTCAAAATAGTTGTTAATTGTAGTTTATAAGGAATGAGAGAAACCCGCTAGGGGATGTTGCTTATTAGCGGGATCTAAGGGTGTAACAAGCTTGGGTGCTGGTGTGGGATTACTTTTTTCAGAGAGTAAAACGGGATGGGCGGGGGTTATTTCCCCTATGGGAAACCGAGCTGGCGTGAGGCTAGGGATGAATATACTTAACAGTAAAACCAAAGGGAAGATACATGATTCTTTATTTCATGATTCATTTGTTCAAATAATTATTTTATACTATTTTAAGGTGTATTTAGCTTGTATGATGATGGTCAGACATGATTTTTGCAATACAGTTTCAGTAGGATCAGTTACTGAGTCTTATTAAGCAATTAGAAAGATCGGGAATGCGAGATTATTCAAGAAGATTAAATTATTTGTTATTCAGTATAAAACATTAGGTATTATAAAAGCTATTTAACTCTAGATGATTTGCATATAATTACGTTAAGTAGACTTTTGTAAACTGTTCAGCAATACTTATTTATCATATTTTTTAATCAATGTAATCAGTCTAATTTTATGATATGAACAAGAAATAATATATTTTTTTTGCCTTTGATGGAGAATGAAGAGATTTAGTGTGGACACGGGGCCGTTATGTCGTTCTATAGAGGACCTTCTTTACAGAGGGCCGATACCTAATACACTCTCTCTTGGAGGGCTGTTAAATGCGATAATTCGATGTTTGCTTGCTCAGTGAAATCGATGAAAGTAAATCATATGAATTAAATGATAGCCACGAACTGTGTGAATCTAATTTATTTTTGTCAGTTGATTCAGGTATAACAACAATATTACCGGTAATAATCATAATAATAATGTTCCAATAAGCGCCACACCACCAAACATTAGTTTGTGCAGTGAGTGGCCGGCTAGATGTGTTGGCGTCTCGTATCATCGTGATTTCTCGTGGATTGAGAAGTTGCTAACTTCAGTCAGATATAGGCCTAAGCAAAAATGGTACGGTATCAACTTAGTTCTCGAATAAGCCGCACTGAAGTCTCCAAAATGTTATAAGCGCCGTGGCGATTACTGAATATTAGGGAGCTTTCGATTGAACGACGACTGTAGGACGTAGAACGTAATGACGTCACTAAAAGTCATCTGCGCATGCGAGAACGTTAAGGTCACCTCGTCAAGTAGATTCTGGAACGCAATTTGGAGAACGTAGGACACCAGTGTAGGACGGTCAAGCATGACTAATTCCGTTCTGGCGTCGCCGCACAAATAAATTGCAGCGCCTGGTGGTACGCGAATTTCAACTTTGCCCTTCTTCCTAAATGCAATACTTTTGTTGCATTGCCAAAATATTAATTAAAAATGTACAGTGTATCATGGTTAATCAATAGGCACTTTACGCAACAGGACGGTAAGACGGGTGGACGGTGGTTCTGTGCTCATCAGAGCGTGAAGACCACAGTAAAGAATAGGGCGCTCAATCCGAATTGCCGTTCTCGACGGCTCCCCGTCCTCTTGCGTCAAGTGCCTAATAATCAACCACAGGAAGGTCAATGTGTGCGCTGATACTATAACACTATTGAAAGGAACATATATAATTATTTTATTTAAAAATCCGATTTTCAGTAGGCCTAAAGCTAAACCCTATAATTTTAACTACTACGAATGCCATGAAAAAAAACAGGTATTTATTGGGGTGGTAGCCATAGAGCTTAAAACTTACGAACACATTCCCCAAAAGCTGGAATTTTATACATCGATAAGAAAGTCAAAAATGACCACCGAGCACTGAGAAATTGCAAATGAATAGAGCCAATCGGTATCGAAAGAAGATCAACGACAGGAATGGTACAGTATGTGAATTTCGAATCAAACAGCGTTTGAAGTGGAAAAAGAATTGAAAACCAATACTGGAAAACTGAGAAGATATATAAGCCTAATAATAAGCGTATAATACTGTATTAATTGGCAAGTAAAATGCAGTTTGTAGGCCTGTATATCCAGTGGGTCGATTGGTGCTTACGAGTTTTCATGACAGCCGAGAATGTCTGAATATAACATTTGTTTCTTAAATATTTAAATTTCAACTACTAATCCATTGTTAGGCAAATAATATTGGAGCCACTATACTGTCAGGCCGTTGCCCCTACAAAACAGGGGGAATTTGGTTGTCTCCTGCCCCAGCTATGAGCTCGCATAATCCTCCGAATCAGACCGTGCCCTGCGCCCATCACTATACCTTCCTCCAGGCTCCTTCTCATAATCATCATAGTAAAGTATGCAGGCCCGTCGGAAGCAGTTCATTATTATTGGTCCGGCCAACGAAAGTAATTTCTCACCCTCACCCACCTACATTCACCCCAGTGAGCGTTATTTACCAGTGGCGACGCCATATGAGGGTCCGAGTTTCTCAACGGGAAACCCACACTCATCTCTGCCCCAGTTCTTTACTACATTCGGGCAAACTAATAAAATTCATCTAAATTCTAAAAAAATCACTTCTAGGTGGCTTCTGATCTAAAAATAAATTATTTTTAAAATGGAGAAAAAAAAAAAAAACTATGTCCAAATTTAAGTCTCTGAGAGCATTTTCCAGCCATCTGAGGTTCCATAAACATAAACAACCGTGGTCTACAGTCGCTCCATATGTGAACCCCCACCACCGGCCCCTCTATTTCAAATTCCTGAATCCGCCACCGTTTTATCGGTGTTATAAACACCATGCCCACTTATGCTGAAAATCGGGAAGGGGAAGCACCCGAGCACTTTGGTGCAGTTTGTATATTAGGTATAGGTCTATTAAGAGTGAATGGGTTCACTATCATTATAATAACAATTTACCATAGTCCTAATATAAAATATTAATTTGACTAATAGCAACTATTTTTGACGAAAGTCAATTATGGTTGCAACAACAATAATTGAGAAAACTTCAAACCCGTGTAGATATAATATAGGCCTAGTATCTTTATTATAATAATTATTATTATCAATATCATTATTATCATTGATTAATTTAATAATATTTATAGCCTAAGACTATCGCTCCATGGCAATATATGTTAACAAACCATTGGGCACTTATATTCATATCAAGATCCAGGCTCATAGAATTTATCGTGCGCAAGTCTTAATAATATGCCGATAATAATTTTATGTAGATGGGTCATGTACTTCAACTTCAACTTCAACTTCAAATAAACATTTATTTCTTAACACAATACAATATAATATCAAAAGGTAAATATTGAACAGTCGGATTTCATAAAAAAAAAAAAGAAGACTTGTGTGAAAGAGGGCACTGCTCAAAAAGTATACGCCAAATGATGAAAGGAAAAACCATTTATCAAGTGGCACTTGCAGCAAGCGACCCATATAATAACGGAAGCATATATTTCTTTGAAAAAAAAAATACATAAACGAAACAAATACAAAACACGGATACAACAGAAAGCAGAGGGGGGAATTGGAGAAATGATTAGGCAAAAGTTTATCAATATTATAATAATGGTATTAGAAAAAAAAACCTTGATTTGATTTGATTTAAGCATATTTAGATAAAAGATATTTCTTGACCTTAAAAGAGAAAATTTTCCTGGAAGGGGCCGATATAATTTCATGGGAGAGTTCATTAAAAAGTTTGGAACCACTATATCGAATATTGTGTTGGAGTAAGGTAAGTTTGGGTAGAAGAAGGTGAAGGTTGTCACGAATTCTGGTGTTGTAAAATAATAATAATATGTCGTTCTGAGTTTTTAAAAAAGGAGCAAAGGTTAGTAGGGAACTAACCTTTTACACGAACAGAATCTCAAATTTAGATTAATAATCAATTTAATGAATTCAATAGGCCTATATCAGGCTTATGATGTTTATTTCTGAATGCAGGTTTTATTTATTTACTTCGGTATACAAATCCTCGAGCTACAATCGATAATATTGTGGATTGGTTGGTCATGCACTTTTACACGAATAGAATTTTTAATTTAGATTAGCAGTCAATTTAATGAATTATATATTCAACAATAGGCCTACCATCACGAGGTATAATAGATAAAATTAGGGGGGGGGGGGGGTCCAGCCGGCCCGGGTCCCCCACCCCTAAATGTTTAAAAAATACAAAAAAAAAGAAAATTCTACTAAAATTTTGGCCATTTCTGGCCATCTAGAGGTGCCATAATCATAACTTTTCTTCCTTTGGTAGTATAGCCCCTCCATGCATGAAAGTACTTCTCTGGGTCCCCTCTATTTTTAAATTTCTGGATCCGCCACTGAATATTGTGAATTGATCATGCACTTTTACATGAATAGAATCTCTAATTTAGATTATAGTACCGTAGGCAATTTAATAAATTACTATATTCAATAGGCCTACCAGGCTTATGTGGTTTATTTCTGAATTATGTATTTACTTCGGTATACAAATCATAAAGCCATCTATAAAAACTGTTAAGCATTGTTATATTCATATGTAGACTACAGAAACATTACAAAAAATAATTGAACGGCGTCAATATTTAAAACAATTAATAACATAGGCCTATTCATAATGAACTTCAGAACATTTTACAGCTTATGGGTAGGCTCCAGAGCCTGACTTTAAGGTAACGATAATAACAATACGGAATTGGTAATGATGCCATACATTTTTTTACTTAAAAGAGGGACCTACTGCAATCGTGTGTCGATGTAAGTATCCAAAACATATTGCTATTCTAAAGCTGAAAATTTGTGTTCAAACAGCTATTGGAACACGCTATTAGAACGAAGACGGAGAGACTTATTCCTATTATTTATAATGTTATGTTTATTATCATGTTTGTTTGTATAACATGTTGTTTTGTTCATTTCATTTTAATCTTTTATTTCAAAATCAACTCAACATACAATTAAAGAAAATTAACATTACGTATTATGACATACAGTCGAAATAATTAAGTTATGTCAATTAAGTTACACTTTCCATGTTTTTCCATGAAGCGATGATCCCCAAGAGAACGGGGGAGGGGGGGGGGGGTAGAGGGGTTCTCCCCCGGAAAAATATTGATTCCTAGATGGCGGAAAATGAGATTTCCCGACTTCTCATTTTCCAATTGTTAAAAAAAAAAAAAAAAATCAGCTCACAGGTCCTGAAAAGCTAGGTCTAGATTTTTTTTCCAAAGGGGGCCCCCCACCCGCCAATTTCATGGTTTAATTTCCGTACTCGTAAAATAAATATTTATTCTGAGGCAGAACGCTGGGCATAAAATAAGCATTGACAAAGACCAGGAGTAGCCTATTCGAAATATTCGTGGGACACGTCAGGTCTGTGCAAATACTTCTAAATAAAAGTTTCTGAAATTTCCATAAAATATTATTACTCGTTTGAAAGTCCTCTTAGAAAAATCCAAAAAATTGCAAATATTTGCAAATAAATATACTTGCTTTGTAGTCAATTTCACATAGGCCTATTGCTTTTTAAATTTCCTTTCTGTGTGGTGAGTGCATAGCCCCAACCATGCTGGGGCTGAGGTGAAAACTATGAATTCGGAATGCATTCAAGCATTCGTTTGAGAATGCAGGAATGTGAATTTCTTCATTTAGAAAAACTTTCCGAAAAACGACACAGGCCACCACCCCACCCTCTAATATTGTTCTTCCAGCGACAAAATAACCACAAATAACTAAATGTACTCATAATTATTATGTATATATTGGTCACTGAAGAAGAAAAAAAGATTCCGCCCACATGGGACCCCATCTGTGTGATAGGCGCAAACTCTGCATCAGCACCTATTTATGGTGATTATAATAATCACCAATACACAATTGTGGAGCAGACAAGAAAAACCAGGATCAAATCTTTATTACTGAATTTGTCAACCGAACGTTCGAAGTGCAAACAAGTTGGACTAAATCCCTAAACAATAACAACAAATATGCATGGAATGCTATTCACTTGAAGTGAACTTTGAAATATGCTATTATTACAGAAAGAAAGCGACGGCATAGATGGTTGAAATTAATATTTTTTAAAAACCAGAAACCAACAGGGTAAAGAAGTGGTGGGATAGAGAGAACAAAAACATTTCCTCCAGGGTCCCATTTCCCTCTGAAAACAATTACTGAAGAAGCTCAAAATTACTTCATATTTTATCACCTCATTCCCATTTATCTCCCTCATTGTCCAATTGTTTCCTATACCCTTCGACATGGTAAACCCCTACCTAGATATGACAATGGGAACCAGATGTCACTGAAGAAATTTCTGTCATTCGAAGTAAAAAAAAGTTAGAAAATATGATAAAGATATACCTTCTGTACTAAAATCATACAGTACTTTCTTTAATAAAAACAATGAATTGCTCATTTAAGTCATCAACATTTTAAACTTAAAAACAAAGTGTTTATTAGATTATGCCACTATAATAGTACTTATGAGTGTCCTTAATCCTTATTATGTGTAAGGCTTGTGAGATGGGCGTGAATTAACACATTCAGCTCAATATACAATTCCATTAAGTACCCTTGAACATCTACTTATTTTGTTTTCCCTTTTTCCATTACCAACAGAACAAGTATTTCCTCCAAATACAAAATACAGTACTGTATTTTCTAGATTCTTTTAATTGACATACATTAAATACTCCACATAATGTGCAAACCATGGAATCGTCAGGTTTTCAAATCTGTCTGCTCACTGGCATTTTTATTTCAATTTATTTCATAAATGCTTGTCCAAAGAGGGGGTGGGGGGGAGAATGACCTCCATAATCCCACTGGCACCGCCCCTGTGGCAACCTGCTCCCTCTCAACTTTGAAATCAAAAAAATTATGTTTATGAATATTCGATTTGAAATTCATTTTTTTGCATGTTGGTGTAAATTGTATTCAATGTGTTTAGTCTTTAATTCATCTCCTGTCTGTGAGAAATCTTAGAGGTAGTGGGCGGCAATTGGGCTAACAGCCCTGAATCGATAAGAATAAATCTTTACTGAAAACTTAAAACACTACACCACGTCACCTATCCACAGTCCCAAATTCAATTTTCCTCTTTGGTTTTCCATTTGATAAACTTAGTTTTCTCTGTCTTACAATCCTTCTAATTGGCTCCAACAGGGCCTTGGGGTTCCTGTATGGCATTGTGTGGTCTGCACCATTCAGGAGAATGTGCTTGCTCCCTGGGTGTAGATTAGATATGAGGTGTTGCTGTGCCTTAGCCCAGGCCTAGGAAGAGAATCACAGTATTGATTTAAATATCAACATAATAATAAATAACAAAATAAAAAAATACTGTTTGTGTTGCTAACAAAATCTTGACAATTCAGTATTTGAATTGCTAAATCTGATAAGTAATCTATAGGTCTTAAATTTATAGTTATCATTGACAATGGTTATTGTTCCACCAGTGTTACACCAATTCCTAATTCTGATTGGATGTTTATAACCAGAATTAAGAACTGGTTTCAGACTAGCGTAAAAATTAGTCTATGAAAAAATCTGAAAAGAGACCTAGAAATCACTTTATCAGGAGCGGAATGTTAGAAGCAGTCATCCATGCCAGATGTCTTTATTGACATCTTCTGGTCACCCCTAGCCTGGATGACGTTTGCGCCGGAGCCTTATATGCAAATATGGACGTGTTTCAAAATGGCCGCTAAATATATTCTGGCTTTTGAAATTAACAATGTGCAACCAAAGTTTTTTTCTTTTTTAAATGAAGGCATGTGACGAGGAGAAAATTCTGAAAATTGCACCTCCATTATATGTCCCGTTCATATGAAAATTAGCTAAAATATGCAAACTAGTGATAAAATTATAGGGTTCACTAACTTCATAACCAGTGGTCACAGAACATGCATGTTTCTATTTGCTCTAATGCAACATTTGCTTCAAAATTGACAGGAAATATCTGATATGACCTATGCCCCTATGCTTTGCAGGAAATTTCATTAGTGAGCTTTTGATTGCACGACGACGGTAGGACGTAGGACATAATGACGTCATTAAAAGTCATCTGCACATGCGAGAACATTAAGGTCACCTTGTCATTCTGGCCAAATTTAAGTATGCAGAGAACGTAGGACGCCAGGTAGGACGGTCACGCATGAGTGATTCCGTTCTAGCGTCGCGTCGTAGCACAAATCGAAAGCTCCCTATTGCCTCCACAACTCCTGTCTTTGTTCCGTTCAAATGCAAATTAGCTTAAATATTCAGATTTGGGGGAAAATATAGGGTTTCTGTATCTTTGAAACCACAGGTCGCAGGAACTTATTTCATTTTCAAATTGTTCAGAACATGCATGTTTCTATTTGTTCTAATGTAACATTTTACATTAAAATTGACAGAAAACACCACATTTGACCTATGACCATATGTGTTACAGGATTTCACGCTTCATGACTACTGTCCATATGGAATTGGTTTGGTTTCAAATGGTATAGGCCTAATAGTTTTAATAAACCATATTTCAATTCACCGTAATGAATAATTTTGTTAACAAGTGTCACTGGAGATTCACCCTTGACCCAGCAAGTTACATTGTATTTCTATACAACTCCATAATGACTGGTCATAGAAAATTTGTGTTTGTATCTGACCAGTTGTTTAGACTGTAATATATTTCTATCTAATGAATAAGTTTTTAAAAAAATACCAGTACAAATATAGTGTATGTATATTAAAAATCATTTAAATGTCATACAATTTGCTGTAAATCAAAAATGATAAATTGGCATACTTTCAAGCCATAGTTCACCATTCAAAAGTGACATGACAATAATGATTCTATAAAAAGTAATAGGCCTAATAGAAACTAATACGGTAAAACACTAGAAAGAAAAATAAAGCCATTTTTTTATTTTAAACATATGCAATTTGATGGTTTTTATAATGGTTGTAACATTTTATGTCAAAAAATTTAGGAAGCTCGAAATGGTTCAATATTCCTAAAAAGAAATCTATGTGTTTAAATGTATATCCACAGATCCTATATACAAATAGAATCTGTGGTTTATCCAACTGGTGAACATACATAGTAAGAAAATATATATAAAAAAAATTGGTAATGTTGCATTTTATTTTAGCTGCCATTATTGAAGGTCATTGATCCAAATGTATGTCAAAAATCTGTTTGACTATTACAAGGAAATAGGATTTGTTGTAAGTGTATTAAAATACAAAAATGCGTATTTGGAAATACAATTTGACTATTATCACAACCCTTTTCAAAACATCGGTATCATATCTTTTGTTCCACAGAGTTTGGTCTAAATCCTCTGTATTCTTTTTTCCATAAAAATGTCATGATAGCGTGTGTCCATTTGCTGTGAAACTACCCGTATACACTATCCATATCTACATCTATTTCTATAAATATATCACATTATGTAATAAGATAGAGGTTGTGTTTCTGATGGTACTAACAGTCCTTTTAGCTGGTAAATTACATATCAGAATTTACTATGGGAAAAACCAAACATCAGAAAGCAGAAAGATGTATCAAGTGCATACCAATAGATAATATAAGTGTGGATCATTGCCTAATTTTTGGCAAATCGACGTGGAAATTGGTCCTTATTTTCCGAATTGTGCGGACGGATTTCTAGGCCGCATTTTTTTGCGGAGGATATATTACCCGTGCAGGCCTTACTATACAGTCTGGGGCTAGACCATAGGTGCATAATAGGCTTATTTTAATACAAGTTTTTTAATACAAGACTAAAGAGTGTGTGGTGAATATACTGCTGACTGTTCCTCTTTTTAAAAAAAATTGTCTATTATAGGTAGTAACAATTATGTGTTTGTATACAACATTAAAATCACAAAAGGAGAACAATGTAGGCCTCTATTGTGCTGCCTTCATATTATTATTATTATTATTATTATTATTATTATTATTATTATTATTATTAAGTTACTAAAACCAGGGAACAGTGAAATTACTAAAACCTACCTTAAGGGGAACTTAGACAATGGAGAAATTGGAGAACAATTAAAAAAACGACGTTAAGGGGAAAATAACACAAAAGATATTCCCCTGAAGTCTTAGTTAGTGCTATTATCATTATTACTATTTTATTAAGTTCTACATTCACCAATTCTAATAAGTATAATATGAAAAATGCATAGCATTATGTTTATGTGATCCTTTTTAATAATTACTGTTGTTTAGTACCTTGTAGCATGAACTGCAACAAAATGTGTGTTTTCTTGTGGTTTTGGTGCATTGAACTTTACAGAACTATGGTGAATTTAGATAGAGGTGTGCTGTAAATATATTATATAACAGGTAAAGTTTGTATTTCAAACTGAGTACATCATAAATAATCTTGTTACAATGCCATTAAATAAAATACAAATAGTGAGCTGGATATTTTTAGTTTCACTCTTTTTTCTTTCTATGCATGATGCTTAAATTGTTCACTGTTAGATTGTATAATGTAAATGTAAATAAAAAAAGAAAGGCCAAATAGGTACATGTAGGTGTTTGGATACATATTACAAACTGTTGGTGTTATGTAATGAAACAGCTTGAATACCCTTACATTTGGAATTTGGCAATAAAAGTGAAATGAATGAAAATGGGCCACTTCAATCTGCGATGCACCCCCTCCCCACAACTGACCTGATATCAGTTCAAAGTTCAAAGTATATGTTTTTTTGATGAAGATGTGCCTTTCATATCAGGCTTAAAATAATGTTTGTTTATGACAATTTACTATCCAGCTAGGTGTATACAGTCAGAAAAACTGGTTTAAGTACTGTTAAATTATGTCTAGAAATACTTTCAAAAATTACAGGTGGCCCATTCTTTTTTTTAACACATCTCAGCTCATTCACTATTTCCATGAAAATATGAAGAAATTGCAATATTTCAGTTATACTCATTTAGTAATGTTTATTACTTTGTGTTAAAATTGTACTTGCATATAATCTAGTTGCTTGGCTAGGCATTCCATGAAGTTCTCAACTTCAAGGGATTTTCGCTTTAAAAATGGCTACAAAATCCATAGTTTTAAGGAGGCCTTAGATTTACAGCCAGTGGCCTATTAATAAATACCTTAGGAAAAATGTTTCCAAATAGATTTATTATCTTTAATTGTCACCAATTTGATGCCTCATACCAATTTGGCTACTAACACCTGTGATTGTGGTCACATATCAAAATCTGAAGTATATTTGGCACTTAAAATTTGATAGTATGGACAGAGCTTTAAAAAAGGGGTTTCTTGTATTTTGTGACAAACATCTTCATTGGAGGAAATAGAAACATAATAAATACTAAAAAACATGTGTTGTTGTAGCCTCAAAGATAGGAAAATCCTTAAGTACATAGGGTCATAGGTCAAACTTGATGTTTCTTGTCATTTTCTGGAGCAAAGGTTACATTAGAACAAATAGAAACATGCATGCTCTGAACAATTTGAAAAAAAAAAAGTTTCGGCAACCAGTGATTGCAAAGATATGGAAACTCATATATTTACCTCTAATTTGTATATTTTAGATAATTTTGCATATGAACGTGATATATGACCGAGGTTTGAATTTTAGAATTTAATCTCTTTTTTTTGTATTTCAGTGAATAGAAACATGTATTCAACCAATTTGATACCAAAATGAATTTTTACGACAGGAGTTTTTTAGATATGGAAATCATGCAAAAATAGGGTCATAGGTCAAATCTGATATTTCTGGTTAATTTTTGAAGCAAATGTTGCATTAAAGCTAATAGAAACATGCATATTCTGAATTATTTAAAACAAAAATCAAGTTTCTGTGATCACTAGTTACAAAGATAACGAACCATATACTTCTATCCCTAATTTGCATATTTCAGCTAATTTGCATATGAACGGGACATATGGCGGAGGTGCAATTTTCAGAATTTTATCTCCACCTCACATGCCATCTCTGTTCGACTTTGTTGCCAGTTTTTATGTACATTTCAATTATTTTTGGTGGCCATTTTGAAAAACATCCCTAATTTGCATACAAGGTTCCGACGCAAGTTTCATCCAGGCTGGGAGTGATCAGAAGGTGTCGATAAAGACATCTGGCATTGACGACTGCTTCTAACATTCCACTCCCCCGACATCATTTTTTCAGATTTTTTTCCTAGAATAAATTGTTATCGCTTGTCCTTTGTGTATCATAAAAAACCATGGCCTTGTAGCTCAGATAGTAGTAGAGTATTTGAACAATAATTGGAAGATCTTAAGTTTGAAAATCGATGGACACAATATGTTTTCCTCCGAAAATATATTGACATTCACAATTATAAATACATATCAGCTTGAAGATTAACACATCCTGACATAATCAGTGAATTTTGTTTATCTTTTTATATGCCACTGCCACCACAATCCTCAATAATCATTGTATTAACCATCATCACAACCATCACAATAATAGTCATCATAAAACATTTTTTTATTGAGGTATCATTAGATAATCTAAAAACATACAATAGTCTCAAAATAACTAATTAACAAAAAATTACTTCCTCCTTTTGTTTGGATAACCATTACAAATATCAAACATGTTAAAGGTCAATAACAATTAGATTTTTAGTACTTGATACCTTATTCAACGTATTAGGCAGTTGTTCATCATAGTAGTTACCAGTAACGACCGTAACACCAACATGTTTTGGGAATGGTTTGATACGCCATGCAGTGCTGAAAAAGAAATTGAAAAAAAAAAATAGCTCTTTATAGCCATGAGGCAAAATATTGTTTTCCAAATGAAGTGTTTCGACTGATGGATTTAACAGCTGTATGACATGGCTATTTCACTTTAATAGCAGACCAAAAAAAAACACAATTTTTTTGCACATTATCATTCAGGTGTTGTTTTAAAACCATAAACACTTTCTCTTCCTTTTTCACTGGTGGCATTGAATGTTACACCAAATGCCACATGACCATTATCAGTTTACATTGTATCTATTGGATGCAAGGACAAAAGATGGTAATATTGCAAATTATCTGCAGTCTGTAGTCTTATGATTTGAGAGGTTCCACCATGGAACAAATAGTTTTGCACATGCAAGTTGCGACACTAGAATTTTAACAATCCTACCGTGGGACAGGTAGTTTAGGGCATGCAGACTGCAGTCATGTAATTTGAACAATCCTAGTTTGTGACGCAAATTTTTGGGTATGCAAGCTATTGTAAGTTAATGATATGATAATGATCTGACCAAAATCAGTGGCGGATTCAAGGTGTCCCTCACCTAGCTGGCCAGGGCCCCCTAAATTTTACTAAATTATAAAAAAAATGGAGAAATAAAGAAAACTATATTCAAATTTAGATCCGAGAGTGCCATTTCCAGCCATCCAGTGGTACCATTTATCATAAATTTTCTTGTCTCAGCCCAACCATGGTGGGGCTGAAGGGGGTTGAACCTAAGTAATTTGTGAAAGTCGCTCCTTGGGCCCCCTCTATTTCGAATTCCTGGATCCGCCTCTGAAAATATCTATCAATTGAACTGGTTTACAGTTTTCTAATGAAATAAATAAAAAATGTACCAATAGTCTAGTTATTTGTAATTATAGTTGTTTGTTACTTATTTTATTACAAATATTAATTCCTGAAAATTGAAATATGAGACGACTGGCTGACAGAATAAAGCATTCAAGCATTTTATCATCCTGTGTTAAGCAATTCATCGTTTTACAACTTATTACTTTCACATTTTTACTGATAACCTTTTCAGATGTGAACTTATTTTTAAAAAATATGTGGTTAACATATCCAAGAGGTGTATTTTACATGGCAATAAAAGTAAAGAGATGTTACAACATATTGAATGTTTTACGAGATATAATAGCAAAATAACTAAGCAATTACAAGATGTGCCAAAATGTGTTAAGAGATGTAGCAATATATCAAATGCAGTAATAATAGCAATCAATATCGATAGTAGAACACTTCTGTTAATCATTAAAAACTTTTTTTTTTCTTTACTGACATAGTTTTGAGGCTTTTCCCTTGATTTTATGGGAGGCAAACATGTATTTTAAACTCACCTTATCTGGGATAAACTTGCATTTATAAAATAATGTTCATCAACAACAGTACTGAGATGGTGTGGTTGGCACATAAGATATTTCTGTTTTAATAAACAACAAAACTCAACTTTTAATGACAAAATTTTAGCTTAGTGTTTTGACTCTTTGAATAGCTCTTGACTTGAGTAGACCGCTACATAAATACAAAAATATTATTATTATTTAAAAGGTTTGATATTTGACTAGCTTTAAGCAATAATATCATAAGAAATGTCATTTATAATTATGCCCTGACAGCTAAACGAAGCAACACAATTATAAATGTGCCTTTCAAGCTAAAACCATTATTAATAGGTCCATGCTAAAACTCTATATGATGTGTATACTTGTTCACAGATTGGATGATTCCATTATTTATAGAGGTAGGTTTCTCAAAAAGGAAACTGGCATATATTGGTTCATCCATACATGAGATATTTTTAAGCGCTTTAGTGTTAATTTTGTAAATTGGTTTTAAGAAAATTTTAATTTAACAATATAATTCATCATAAACAATATTCATAATAATGATACTTCTAGTAACAATTTTTTTTCTAAATATAATAAAAAAAATTGAGAATGTTAGGCCATCTTGATTATTCATATAACCTCGTCTTTCATTGGCTAACAGACTCACCTGTCGGTAGTCAACATCTTCAGGTAGATCAGAATTTTTCATTGGTTGATTCATCAAATTTAACAATAAGCCAATTCTAGAAGCACCAACAGCCGCAGATAGTTGAAGGGATTGATATGACGGTATTAAATAATCAAACCTAGAGAACAGATTTATTAAAAGAAAGGACTTGATCTAATGTTCAAAATAAAGGTAACTGTGATACGTAATCGGTAAATTAACCAACCATTCTCATAGTGAACACTAATCTAACAAAATGCTTTTGTACAATATAAATATTTTCTACTATGTAATGTACTAAGTAATGACCATTAGACTACATACATTGCTATTATATTTAACAATATGGTTGTCTTAGGAACATCAATAAGGGTCTTCACTTCCAAGTGAAAGGTCAGGGGTTTAAATCTTAGGCTGGCTCCTTGTTTGTGTCTTTGAGAAGACACTTTGCATTGCTTCTCTCCACCCAGGAGTTAAATGGGTACCTTGATTGATTATATGCATGCTACTGCGCCGAATACATGCTGTAACTATAACAGCCTAGAACTGTGTGTTCTTCAGCATGTGGACTAATAATAATAATAATAAGAATAATAAATCTTTATTTGTCCCTGAAGACCGGCGGCAGCCACAGTGCAGCGCCACCCAACTAAAACTACAACATACAACAGATACACATGGTCCTTAACTCGCCTAACTCTGCTGAAGTGGTTATTCAAGGAGCTCAGCATTTTTTTTAGAAAAGACCTGAATTCAATACTCGGCTGCAAAGCTGGGTCTCAAACCCGAGCCCTGGCATGCAAGAGGCAGGAACCATACCTATCAGCCAAACACTCAGCTGTGGACTAATGACCAGGCAAAATATACTGAGCTCTTAAATATGGAATCTGGGAATTAGAAATCAACTACTATTAAGTATTGTGTGCAAAAAGTGCTGATGTCATAACTATACATTTAGTCTTTGTATTCAGTAGGGAGCAAATTTAGCAAAATTTAAAACTCACGTACCAGAATTTTCCCCATATTCCTTTGTCAATGCTGAACAAACCCTCAACCAATGGATCAATCAAAATAAGGTCAGACACCTCACTGAAAAACAGAGCAAAAACAAGAAACTTTTCTACGAAAATAATAAAAATACTAAAATATAATAGTAAACAAACTCCAATCATTCCAGTATTTGCTTTATCCATCTTATTGTAAATCAGGTAGGATAGGAGAATAACCCATAACTTGTGGCGTCATTATGCTTAATTGTGTATGGGCCTGGTCCATGACTACTGGAGCAGCCGTAGAGAGGCGCTTAGTTCACATCATTTCACAATGACAGGGGCTGAAATGAACCATAGCATCGGGGTAACCCACTACTCTTCTGAAAGATGCAATGGGTTCTTTAAAGTGCACACAAGCCAGCTGTATACACTAGACCTTCCGTTTTTAAGTCCTTATCCGAGAAGACTTGGTTCTACCAACCGAACGCTGGGCGAGGAGAGCGACTCGTTATCATCATCATCCCAATTGCAGTTAAAATATTATTTAGCTACAATATTATTCTTAATAAACAGTAATTGATTTATGGTAACAATAACAATATCAAAGCAATACAGTCTTAGTAATCTTAGCTAGTTCAGACTTACTTACTTTTCATACAATTGTGTGTAAAACCTGGCAACCAAGGAGCCCAATTCAGACCCCACAAAGATGAATGGTTTTGGTTGGTCACTGCTCACTGTAAGTAGTTGATGGAGATCATCAACCATTCTGAAAAAAAAGGTAAGACATTCCATAATCAAAATGTGATAATATTGGTATATTTATAATAGGGACTGAAAAAAACATTCTATTTTCATAATGTTCCTTTATTAGTAACATAATAAAATATCAAGTAACATATAACCATATAAGTACAATATGAGTACCTTACCTATGGTTAAAAGCGAACCTAATCTTACGTCCAGTAAATCTTGCATTATATTCGTACATCTGGTGATACAATTGTGCTAAATAATTGGAAATTTGTTTTTGCAGTGATTAAAAAAGACAAAAAATAAATAAATATGATCACAATTAATCTTTAATATATAGGTAGATCTGCATCAAAACATCTTTTTTTTTCTCTTTCTCAAATATTTTTCAATTTTTCTGTCTAAGTCCTTGCTAATTAGTGTTAGTTTGGAACAAGCTAGGAGGCACCTGATCTAAAAAAATACTTAACCAATGCCAACTTACATATACACAGACCTGTAATTGGTGGTGAAGGTGTAACACCTCACTTTGGCTTCGATGCTACCCTGGTCTACGAAAGTAAAATTTCTTTACATCAAATGCATTATTGCATTACAACATACCTTTCAACTGTGAACTCTTCTGCTCGACTATCACCCATAAGAGAATTATTGCTATCACTGGCATTCTGTTAAGTAGAAAGAACTTTTGTCAACAAAATGTTTACATTTTTTCTACATCAAATGATTTTGGCAGTGATGGTTTTGGTAAATGACAAAACATATTTTTCCCCACTCTTTTCTGGTGATCTATTAAGAATAAAGTTTGCTAAACAAGGTCTAAGTAAAGGCTATGCAATATGTAAGAACAAGAAACAATAAGCTCCCTGCAGAAGCTATGCTCTTCAAGAAGGATAAGAAGTGTTATATAAAAAAAATGATGATACCCTTGGAGCACGCTCACTGAATCCTATTCCTGCTCTATCATATGTGCAAACCTACAAGATAAAATATTTAAAAAAAATGTATTAATAATTCAATACAAGATATGAAATATTCATAATAAAATAATAATATTATCAATGTAAAATGCTTGGTACATAATAATACAATTGCTTTTTACATATTGTACACCTGCCAACTCTCATGCATAATGTGTGAATCTTATGCATGAGCATCCACTTTTTACGTCTCACGCCAAAGTTGTATTATCTCACGCATCAAAAACATTTTATAAAAGATAAAATGTGTAGGTCAATTATACCCTAAAATTCATAAAAATGATGTGAATTTGTCATTAAATGATGTGAATTTGTCATTAAAATGTGAATACAGGCCATATAAATTTATTTCAAGGAAGCTTTACTGACCGAAAACTGTAATCAGTAGCAGTTCGAAAAAAAACAAAAAACATAGAGGGCACTCTATTTCGTGAATTTTACATGGAGGGCGCTATATACAAATTTTCATTCTTTTTGTCTCGCACATCGGACGCCAGCAAAATTGGCAGGTGTAATATTGAAGATATTTTATTACTACTTTTATAATCCTTCATCTTTCCTAAAGTTGCTCTTATTTTGTACTTCTACTTTTGGTGGATAAATTTTCTCATTGCAATGCTGAATGAAAAGACTTCCTTTGAATGAATTTTCAATCTATCCAATAAAACTATTTTCTTGGGGTTCAACAAAGCATCAGTCCTTGGTTTGATATAGGGTCTTCCATCCCCCTCTAAACTACATTATTATAGTATAAATTAAAGTACCTTACCCTTGTTACTTTAGCCAGTTCTGGTTGGATGAAGTACCACACATCTGAGCTCATACCAGTGGGTGCATCTAACAGAACTAATTGTTAAAATATAAAAAAAACACACACATTACATTAAATTCCATGCAGCTAACAAATGGAGAAAATCAACTATCAGTGAGATAGGACATAATGGTGATGGGCATCTTATAACCATTTTACACTCCCAAGGGCAGAATAAACCCGTGTCAATTCCGGAGTGATCCCGGGTCCATTTCCCATTTACATCGAAAGAAAAAGTCTGGGTTGCTCCCGAGTTGCTCCCACTTTACACCGGCAATGAACTTGGGTTCAAATACTGCCTTCAATTTTTGTTGAGATGGTGATCATCACTTTGCTTGAGTTCCTCATCGTGACGAAGCCGCAATTATTGTCAATATTGAAGCAATGTATGTGCAGATTGTTTTTAAATTATGCGAATTAAATCAACAGTTTTGATATCAAGTTTATACCGGAGCCCATGGGGTGTAATTTGAAAAGTGTCTAGGACTAGCCCGTTGCTAGTAAAGTTTAGGCCTACCTGACCACAGCTGCGATAGATGCCAGGTAAGGCCTAACTCCAGAATCGAATTCTGTGCTGTTTACATTGGCGATTCCGGAATGCACCTGGGTTGTCCAACGCTGAATGCACCCCGCACATCGATCCCAGGATGTTTGGCAACCCATGTTGTATTTTTTTATGTTTACACCAACCACAACTTGGGAGTTTCTAGCCCGGGTATTGCAAAATCCCAGGTTGCGTCCGGAGTTTTGCTTGCAGTGTAAAAGGGGTATTACTGTTAGTCCAATTTTAAGTTAAAATTTCTCAGGCTGAGGCTTACCAGTTGGCGGTCCTGTACCATTGCATGACAACAACAATTTCTGACCCCAACCAATATCATACAATTCACCACCTGAAGTTAAAAAAACAGAAGAGAATGAGTGAAGAGCAAAATTAGATAAACACACAAATTTAGCTTCCATTGGCATCACAATAAAGATCATATCAACACTTAAAACGGGATATAATCAAAAGAATAAGTTGAATTGTTGAGAAAATCCGGGGTCCCATATCTCCCGGAAGTCGCAGGAGTCTCCCGCAATCCCAAAAGCAGAAGAATCTCCCGGAAAATAAACCATCTCCCGGAAATTCAACATTTTATGTTTTTACTACTTTGTTTTGTCTCACAGAAGTCAGTGCTGATGGGTATTATCATGAGCAGCAAAATAAAAAAATTCAAATGGTTTAAGAAAGCTCATGTAATCAGATCTCCCAGAAGGGATTTTGTCCAACTTAGGATCCTTGGAAACTGTAATGTTTTATGATAAAACTATTGTAGTATTTTATGGCCTCTAGAAACCTTCTGGTACATAAAGTAGTAGCAGTGACCAAATTCCAATACATACCGGGTGGTATCAAGTATTGGGCTTCTCTCAACAGGGCTGCATGGTTTAGGATTGCTGGCAGGAGCAGTAACAACACAACATACTTCCCAACATTCAAAGCTTTCCAAAACATATTCGATGAGCTTGACTGGTTGGAGAATTCTTCTGAAGGAGACTAATAACATGAGGAAAAATATAAAGATTAGTAGGTGTGGTGATATAAACAGCATCCGATCATGCTTAAATTTCTGTCCAATATCAAATTTTATGTGATAAATTTGTGTGATGATGTGCCAAGGCATTGGGCATGGTGATGTTATATTACACTCAATTATGGGCATGTATACCAGTTATTTGTCACCCTAAATTGATAGTGGATTACGCTTAGGTATAATTACTTAATACTTGCATTTTCAACAGCACTGTCTTCTGCTGAGGACACCACATGCTTCGGCTTCTCAGTTGTCACACCATCACGGCCCGCCCTTCGCCTTCTGTCAGTTGGCATCTTCTTTGTTGCCGTGGACCCTCCCGACTACCATGAAAAAAAAAAAAAAACAGACATGAAGATACTATATACGGCAGCACCTTTGTTTGAACAGCTTATACTGCAGTACCTTTGAGCAGCTCCGAGTGACTCGTAACTTCTGTGGACTAACCTAACTGTGCACAAGCTAGGCCTGGTCCAACCGGACTAGACTTACCTAGTAAGGCCCAAGCCCTCTATTGTAGTGTGTATGTTGTGCAAAATTTGTTCCTTTTGCTCATTTTTAGTTGCTGATGTTGTTTTACAGTTGCTTCAAACTGTGCGTGTAGTATGCATACTACGCAAGTTTTCTTGTGTGACCTTTAAATTTATTTACTGATATTGATAACTTATTTATGACTCAACATAATGTATTTTCTGCGAGATAAATATACGGCAATTCCAATGTTTTAAGCGATTGGAAAAATTTAAATGATAAAAGATAGGCCTCAGCCAGACCTAGGCTAGAATTATTAAAGAATATTATTAAATTGAATGTTAATAGAGGGATTTAGCGATGTTTGTTTACAGCTGGTCACATGACCTACGGTGGGTGTACCATGAAAAACATTACAGTACGATCAGTGTGAAAGTATAGGAAAAGGTAATGTTATGGTTTCGAAAACAACCACCAACTATTAACGTGAGAAATAAATAGCAAGAAAAGGCAATTACGATTGTTAAAAATAGTGTTTATTTACTTATTCTAGCGTTCTCCTATGCTTGAAATTTATGTGATCCTTCATAAACCTTAGCTAGCCTAGAAATCATAGTGTTGTACGCGGGTTGAGACTCTCGTGCATACCTAAACAGGCTGTAGATATGCAGGGGCCTATGCCTAACATTTGTCGAAAAATCTCAAATTCCATTGGACGACAAAGTAACACAAAGTTTGTGAGGTGAACTTCGAGACATCAGCAATCGACTTAGAGCAAATTATGTTTAAAAGAACAAATACAGCAATTATGATGATCTTTACAGCAATTACATGGGACAGCCGCCATTAGCAATCTGCGCTGTGCCAGTCCATTGTTTACATCCAACACCCAAGTTAGGTCATGTGACACCCCTGCCGAATCCCTCTATTGATTGGTAAGTTGAAAAAAGATTATAATGATTAAAATAGGACAAGGCCAAAGCAAAAAAGTGAGCACCTTTTAGAATTATTGATCATAGGGCCTAGACATATTTACATGACCCCGGCGAATGTTTCTAGGCTCCTTTCCGATGATATGCCAATCACGTTGGTCACCCAACAAAGATCTTTGTCATACAGTTTTCAAAAACAGAATAAAATAGTATCAAAAAAAGAAAATCGATTAAAATGTGCACGAGCTATCTACTACCCCTGTTGCAGTTTTCAAATTGTGCGAAGAAATCCTTACACAGTTTTCAAATTGCGCAAGGATGTGTAAAATTTGCAAATTGTGCAAAAGTTTCAAATTGTGCACGGTATGTACAATAGGGCCTAGGGCTAGGGCCAATACTACTATCGTATGTACAGTATCGCTATCTATCTAGCTAGGCCTAGCTATCCTCCTTCTCCTCTACTACTACTACTAGCTAGTCTAGGGAGGCGCATACACAGCTAGGCCTAGGCCTACCAACAATTATTAACAATTTACTCCCCCCTCCCTAGCAAATTATAATTTATAATTAATAATAAATGTACTGACTAGAACACAACATAAATTTAAAAATACTTTACTTCTATTTATACAATGTTTTTCTTTTATCGTCAACGTTTAGTCCTATATTATAGCTTGTTCGTAGCAGCCATAGCCACATGCCACTTCCAGGGTTCATGTCAACCCGGGTCAAACCCATTGAAGCGTGAAGAAAACAATTTTTATTTACTGCGCAGTTCATAATATTGTTCATGTTTCAGGTCAACATTGGCTGCTTTTAATATTCACGATCGACGATATTGAAGTCTTTCATCGTTTTATCTCGTAGGAGCCAGTTTATAATCTATATGCCCATTGGCGACGAAGCACTTCAACAGCAGGTATGTTTCGGTAGTTCAGGGATGAGTTGTGTTGCTATAGGTCGTAACTAGCCTGCTAATTTTCAGACAATGGGAAATGGGTACAATGAGAAATATAATGTAATGACTCATGCAAAGCCCCAAGTAGCTTGTTATCTTTGTAATATTTTACTTTATTTTTCTGCCCTCATTAAAAAAATTAAGCACTTAAAATATTTAATCTTATAATTGAAATTGATTAGCTTAACACCCCAGAGAGAGTATCTTTAAAGTTTTACTACTCACTTAACAGAATTTCACCCAGTGACCAAAGATGGGGCCTGGGAAGGACCTGGCTGTCCTATCAAGGAGCATCTTGCCATTTTTTTAATAGGTTTTTCAACAGCTGTACGTCCGTGGGCCCATCAAGATAGCCGTTAACACTGTATATATATACATATATATATATATATATATATATATATATATATATATATAATAGTATATTAAACAGACTAATATTGACCAAAATTCCAAATAAAAACAGGAAATAGAGAAACATAGCATAACATTTAGGCCACAATGGACGCAAGTATGTAAAATAATAAATATATAATGTTAAGAGCGAGGTAAATAAATGAAATAGTCAAAATGAATAAATGTTTCATAATTTTGGTCAATATACTATAGTCTGTTTATTATACTGTCGGCATAATGTGGGAAAGACTATTAATCTACGTTCGCATTGCAAACTGTTTATTACTATCAATGTATAGGCCTACCCGATTTTTTATTACTCTCATTATAATCCGCATTGTTATTCTTTAACTCCCCCCACTACCTGTCTCTTATACACATCTACACGATTGAGGGTTTCTAGACCGGCAAATTCAAATTAGAACATTTTACACTTATGTGACATTATTAAAATACATTTCTTCAAAGAAAAGGGTGGGAGGTGGAGTGCTAAGAAGACACCTGCAGTACCCCCTTAGTCCACATCCACCCCATTAGTCAGCCCTCACCAGTGAAAATAAGCACAAAAGATCACGGTCAAACAGACTGAATTTACCTAATATCGCTATAATTTGCGTGAGCAATACTTGTTGTATTTGAATGGATACTAAATAAATAAATGAAAAGCAGCCGTCAAGGTGGTCCATAGCACTGAGCATAGGTGAATTTGGGAGGGGTTTCTCAGCTAAATGCCACAAGAACTTAGTGGGGCCACGGAAGGTCCATAGAATGCTGTGTATTCTAAAACCCTTTAAAATAATGTTTTTGATTGACCACTTTAAATATAAAAAAAAAATTGTAAAAGGGTGAATTTTAAGAAATATATATTGATAACAAGTAATGATGAGGCAGCACTAGCTGAGACTAACTGTAAATGATGTAATTTTATTCGACACGAGCTTTCGCTGGCAGTCAATACCAGCTTCATCAGGTGTGTGAAGTGGTAACATGAACAGAGAAAAAATAACTTATATATAGCTAATTAAAATATATATAGGGTGACAATCAGTAAAATAGCTGCAGTAATTACTATTAATATATAGTCGATTTGCAAGTACTAACTTTTTTCGGACTATGCTAAAAATTGGTACTTATGAATAGTGGCGGAATTCAAGGGAGGGGCTTTTACAAGTACAGTACTTCGAACTTCACCTAAAAAAAACCCCCCAAAAATCGATTCTAGATTTTCAACATTAGATCGATCAGGCTTTGAGCAACACAGATTCATGTTTGGCTTATCAATAGTCCACGCTTAATCTATAACTTAAGCATTTGTTTTTAACAATCAAAAGTCCGAAGTTTAAAGATTGGCATCTTTAAGTGCCCAGCGTTCACAAAAATACTACATTCAATATCAGATGTTGAGTGTTCTGTTGGGTCGATGTGAAATTCAGCAAGACGAAATACATTTAAAGACCGACGACGTTTTTACTCAGAACAAAGCACATTTTGTAATTATGTTTGATTGAATTCATGAATAGTGTAATTATATGGAATGTATATGGTTCAAGTTGAGCCAAAACGGATCAGGAAGGTGCGTGAAAGTTAGAACACGCGTACAGTGGCTTCTCACAGAAAAAAAGAGTTAAAAATACAGAATTACTATTATTTAAAAAATACTGTATCTAAAATAGTTGACCCTACTGTCAAAATTGCCTATGATTAAATTGTTTGGAAATTGCGAGAAATGTTGTGCTATAAAAACATTTAATGGATGTAAAATTTTTGGTAGCATCGTGGTGACGTGCGTCTACGGTATTGCGCAACACCAACCAAAATGTTTAGATTATTATGAAATAATATTTTCTATAATTTTTTACTGATTCTATCTGTCTTTTACATTACAGCAATGAAACTAAAGAAAGCAGAGCTCAACAAAGTGAAAACAAGATCAAATTGGTAACATGGAATATTGATGGTCTTGATGAAGAAGACCTGTTGCAACGAATTACAGAAGTTTGTAGTACTATAAAGAGGTAATTATACTAATACCGTATATTCTCGCGTGTAAGGCAATCTGCGTATGAGACGAACCCCGAAGATATTTTCCGAAACCGCATCTGTCTTGTCACCCTCCCAGCTTTGAGAGAATTTTGTATAATGCAACTTACAATTCAAAAATATTACATGTATTTTTATTAATTTTTTCTCAAATGAAAAAAAAAATTAGTACAAGACATACCTTCAATACATACGTACAGCCTAATTTTTAATGTAGGCCTACCTGTACACTATCGTATTTTTCTGGATCCAGAAATTCAAAATAGCCTGGGCCCGGGGGAAGGACTTTCACAGATAGGGTGTCAATATCACCTCAGCAACATCGTGCTTTGGGGCTGAGGTAAGAAATGTTTATGATTATGGCACCTCTATGGCTTGAAATGAACTCTCAGACTTCAATTTAAATATAATTTTCTTTTTTTTTATATTTTTTTATATATTTTTGAAAATCATCTTTTATAGTTTAACAAAACAAATTTCTTCTAATTTTAAATACATTTTCCTCTGAATTCGTGTTAATTCGTTAAGACGCATAGACCTGTGCTAAATGCGTGACAAATTTATGATCACCCATGTGTTTTTTGCAAAATGTGTGTTTAAATAAAATCACTTTGAAATGCGGGATCGTCCCGCACGATGCGAGACGGTTGGTAACTCCATTCTAAGAATTTTCAGAATTTATTTTGAAAAGTAGTTTTGAAAAATTAAGTGGGAAGTTCACATCATAAATCGACCTTTCAAAACAGAGACAAGAATACGCCCTTATCACACACACACACGTGTTTAAGCATGTTAAAAATCGTAGTAGTAAAAACGATGTCATCGTTTTCCTATGATTATGACGTCATTTGATTTGATTTGTGAAAATATCTTTTTATCGTATACACGATAAATCGTTATCGAATCGTGCTACTGTGAAAACTTCTTTTATTTTCTATATGAACAACTGCTTTTTAGCATTTTATCGTTGATCGTTCATAGTGTTAACAGACCTTTATACGCTGTTGTTTTGTGAGAACTTAGCAACAACATCCAAGGGGCGGGGCTTATGCATAAAATCTACCAATCAACAGTCAGTGTGCACATTTAGGTGGCAACGTGCTGCCAATCACAGGAGAGAACTCAAGATGTTTGCAACTTCCTAAAAGAATGGTTGTCAACTAGAACAAAAGTGGAGACTGTAAAAAATATTTTAGCTTTTATGATCTATGGTCCTTTTGCTTCTTTCAGACTTCAACCAGATATTGTGTTTCTCCAGGAGGTTATTTTTGATATAGCACCGCTCATTGTCGCACGATGTCCAGGCTACAAACTGTTTCCGACAAGAGATGAACAGTATTTTACTGCAATGATGTTGAAAACGAGCACAGTCACAATTCAGTCGAATATTATTATGCCATTTGAGAATACAACAATGGGAAGAAGGCTTCACAAAGTTAAGGTGATTTTTAAATAGGCAGTGGCTTTATTGTTTGTTTACACAAATTCTAAACAAATTCCTGATTTATGATTGGATGTTGTTGTTATTCCAATCCAGGCATAATAACAATCAGTGGTGTAAAAATAACCACTGTCTATTAAATGATATAAACTATTTTCAACATAAAAAATGACGGCGATAGCTATGGAAACGGGCTTTAAACGATGATGGTGACTTTGGAATTGGAAAGAAATTCATGACCATTTACAAAATGTTTTGTCTGATAATATGCTGACGACAGTATTACAGATTTGAGTTAAACTGCCATACGGCAAACTATGAGGTATCAAATACTGTAGTGACGATTTGTTGTTATGATCATTTCATTTTCCTTTTCAATCAAGGTCAAGTGTGCTGGACTTAATCTTCTTCTCATGAACTCTCACCTGGAGAGCATGAAAGAGAAAACTGTACAACGGAAGCAACAGTTCCAGATTGCGCTAGAAGAAATGGCCAGTGCTAGTGATGACACCGTTGTTTTGTTTGGAGGGGACACTAACCTACGAGACCGTGAGGTTTGTATTCTTAAATAACATCCGTGCTGAACATAGTAGGCCTAATTTTTGTTATTAGACTTTTTTTTCATCATCCAGCTTGTTATTACTTGGTGTTTTCCCATATTTATATAAAAAAAACTTATGGCAAGGTTGGTTCATTCAATGAATGAGGATTTGTAGTGTGGATATTTCAAACTGATTTTTTTTATTGCAACCAGTTTTCATATTAAAAAAAAAAATCAACAGCATATTAGGTTTTTTAAAATTTCATTTATCCTTTAATACTGTATTGTTACTGCCCAAGGCACGGCTGATAATCTGTGACTTTAAAATGTGTAAACATGACTGAGACAGATTGTGATTTATTCCGATAACCCATAATATACAGTAGGCTAACTTTTGTTTCTTGCTCGTTATTTCTTAGCTGCAACCCGACTTTTCTCTGAAGGATGATGAATTGTAGACAAACACTGATAATTATGATAGTTCAATTGATTTATCATTTTAGGTAAGTGAGATGGGAGACAAGATACCTGGAGGCATCTTTGACTTGTGGGAATTGTTTGGTTGTCCAGAAGATGCTAAGTATACATGGGATACTGAACGAAACGACAATAAGGAGTTGCCGTTTCCTAACAAACCAAGGCTACGTTTTGACAGGCTGTACCTAAGGCAAGCTAAGACAGCCCCTAAAGTTTCTCTCCAATCATTCAAACTCATCGGTGAAGAGCGGATTGCAGCAGTTGATTGCTTTCCAAGCGATCATTTCGGGATTTTCTGCGAGTTCAAAGTCAATTAGTAGGCCTATTTATTAGTGCCATTAGAAAGGGTTACAGTGTTATTCACTTCCCCCTGCTAATCTAAGTTGGCCTAATACTGTACTTCTTTTGTATGACTTTTTTTTGAAGAACTTCATGAAGTAATATTTTGAAATGTAAACAAATACTTAGACATTACAGTAGATTTTCCTAAACTGACAGCAAAGTGCCTAGGTCACTTTCAATCAGGGAGCCCGAAAGAACAACCACAATTGAAATAAAAATGTTTATGTATTCTTACAAATTAATATTAGTAGACTCCAAAATCGATTAAATAAGCCTTTGAAACCCCTAAATTATCATATTTTTCGGGGGCCTTGCCCTCATGGAACACTTTTGAGAGATTTTGAGCGATGCCCGACCACGCCCACTTTTTTTCATCAGGGACATCGACTGCTTTCAATTGGATATGTACTGTGGTTGTAACCAGTGTCGGTGGATTGGCCTGTCGTTCAATCGATCGCGGACCGATGCGCCTTTAGGATATAGCGCCTTTTTTTAGAAGGGGAAAATGAGAATTAATTAGTATTGAGATAATTATCACTGAACACAAACACACATTCATATATTATAAGCATCTGAAGTGCTCAAAAATTGTATTGAAAAGTCTCCAATATTTTGAAACCTCAGCGCTCCCCACATCCCTATTGCTCCTGTTTAGTTACTGGATTTTTTCTAGAAATGACAATTAGCAAGATATGCCAAACAATTATTTACTGCATGATACATTACTATGTATATAAGCAATTCGATGTTTTTAATTGATTAAATTATAAAACCATAAATAAGTATGTGTAATTTAGTATAATGTTCAAATATCATTTTTAGTTTTGTCATTTGTATAATTTTGTAATGATGCAACTGTTGTTTGTGATTAAAAGGAATATTGATAAAACAATTCTTGATGAGATGAAATACTTGTATTCTACTGGCAACCGCAAATTTTGCTCTTCACACACCACCTCTCAGGATCTCCTGCATGGCAGGATCTGTCCCCTGAATGCCAAGGTTTTAACCTCCAAACCAAAAACAAGTTCTTAAGTTCTCTCTTAAAGTTCATATATCACGAAGACAATTTTAGATACCATAATTGCTGCTATTCCTGCTTAATTTTTTTTCTTCTTTCATGGTGCTCGGGCATTCAGTCTTTTATAAATTTAAATATAAATAAATTTAACTGCAAATTACACGCACCTTTTGTTATTTACAATTGAAAACTTGCTTAAATATACATAATAAAGCACATATATATATATATACATAATTTTGGAGTTTATCATTTCTCAACAAACTTTTAAACAAATTTAAAAAGTACCAGCATACAGTATATACACTATATATATAATAATAATAATGTCGTTCTTATATAGCGCTTCATGCCTTTACAAGGTCTCACATTACTACCCCAGGCATTGGATCAAACACATATGGAACACATTGAAACACCAAATTAAATTAGTAAATGAAATTATATTATCATTCCATAAATTGCAGCTAGTAATCAGTGCAGGTTGTGTTGGAACCTACCAAGTACCCACTTGTACTCTTGGGTGGAGAGAGGCAACCGTAGATAAAGTGCCTTGCCCAAGGACACGAGTTCAAGCCAAAACCGGTGCGCCAACTGCTCCTACATTGAAGCCTGTTACATAATAATATTGTATACAAATATTGACTGCTCATGAGGAGAATGGTGAAATCTATATCCCTGATGTGATGTGGAGGCCTCCACATCACCTTTGTTGAGCTATATACTGCATTGAGCACTCTTGTCTACATGATCTGGTTTAAGCCAACCACGCAGATTATATATACATATATATATATATATATATATATATATATATATATATATATATATACGCACATACACATATATATATATACTTTGCACACAGAAACTTACCTCGCTTATTTACAAGATTACAAAAGCTTTTGGTATATCTGGTGAAGCTCTTATTTCTTCCTACATATTACATTAAAAGGTAGATGGCTGGGGCGTTGGGTGGGGGCTGTGTCTTATACACATCTAGATGTGTATCGAAAATAACATTTGAGGCATTCTGGGCTATCATTTTTTTTCTTTTTCTTTCTTTTTTTCTTTTCTTTTTACCTCCCAAAAGGGTGCTGGGGCCGGGCCCCCCCTAAATCTGCCCCTAACTTGTATTGATTTTATCCAAATCAACAATCGACTTTAAAAAGGATGATACTGATACAAATGAAATTTACTGTATATGATAATTGGCAACAATTTATTTTCCATTGTGCGACCAAGTCAACACAAGTACTAACTTGTCTAACGTTTTACTGGCTGTTTCATTGAAGCCTGTTACATAATAATATTGTATACAAATATTGACTGCTCATGAGGCGAATGGTGAAATCTATATCCCTGATGTGATGTGGAGTCACCTCGGGACAATAGGCCTGAGGGAAGATAGGCTACGGTCTCCACATCACCTCGGGGTAATAGATTTCACCGCTCCCCGAATCTAGAGCAGTCAATATTTGTTTAATATACCTCATACATAGATTCTACGAGGCCTAAAAAGTACTTACTTCCTAGCCTAGAGGCCTACTAACTAGGGCCTAATTGATCAAAGAGTGTGTCTAGCTCTTCTTTGCTCATTTCCTCAATTTCAATCCATCGTCTTGCAATATTTGTCGACTACTGACAAGACATATTTAATTTGTCTTTTGGTGTTTTTGCTATCGGCTTCATCAGGAAGTATTGCTAGGCCTAGGCTAGTCCTTCTTCATCCAGGAGATTGAACCGACATCCTCCATAATTATTGTTTATCGTCTACTTGTTGATCTGTGGCGCGATCAAGGGCCAATCTCTTTCGTCGTAGAGGTCACAGTCCCCTCTACCATCAGCGCAAAGGTGGGGCCTACAGTTAGCACCACGCGACAGGTCAAAAAAGTACTATTTTTCAGGGAATAATGCTTTCTATTGCCTACTTTTTAACCAATCAGATGCCTAGAATCTATGTATGAGGTATATAACAATATATATACCACCTTTTGCTAAGGGTGTATACCAGGTGCTGGAAATGTTGTTATAGGCCCTGGTCATTGAATACTGCACTGTATTCTCGAAATGGCACAAAGTGCAACCTCTTCCACTACCTGGGAAGTATGCCTGTCCTCCATTGGGCAAATACATTCACTGTCACAGGTATCTGTTTATATTCCTAGGTGAAAGCGACAAAAATATTTTTAAATTGCCTTGCTTAAGGACATAAGCGAAATATACAGCAAGAAGCTCACACCCCGACCTCAAGATTGAGAACACAAACACAACCACTCCACCAACTGTTTGGATTTGTGCTTGGATTGGCAAAGAGGACATAAATTTTCTTCACAGCATCTTAATTGACTTTGAAGTCACAGAAAATCCCAAAGTGGTCGCTCGGAAAGCGATCAACTGCTGCAATCCACTCATTACCAATGAGTTTGAATGTTTGTAGAGAAACTTGAGAGGCTGTCTCAGCTTGCCTTAGGAACAGCCTGTCAAAACGTATTCTTGGTTTGTTAGGATACGGCCAATTGAGGTTGTTGTTCTGCTGGGTATCCCATGTATACTTGGAATCTTCTGGACGACCAAACAGTTCCCACAGGTCCACGATCCCTCCAGGTATGCCTCCCATACGGCTCACCTAAAAAAAATGATAGAAGTGGAAAATAAAAAATTAGGTTTTTTTGTCAGCACTTAACCTCAAATACAGTCCTCTTTCAGAAATAATGTTGGCTGTCTGTGAAAGTGCAAATAATATTATAACTAGAAGGGAATTGTCTTCTTAGAAATCAACATCACAATCTACTATTTGTTGATTCCTTGGTAAAATTAAACCCATGTACATTGACACTTCTGTGAAAAGGAAAATGAAATAATTACTGTAATTATAAATGTATTGTCTACTATATATTTTCACACATTTCCACTTTGAAATCACAGTTCTTGAATTCCATTATGGTATATCCAATACGATACATATACTGAATGTTAGGTTGACTCCCACTGCATCACAGGTGATATTCGGCTAATGAATCAGTCTGCATCATGTGTGTGAGTGCTTACCTAAAGTGATGACAGCCTGCTGATTGTCAGAGTGGCAGTCTGAGCAGATAGGATTTTAAAATGATCTGTCATGCACCTCTCATCGCATCACATTTTATGTGTGATTGCATTGGCCTAGTGTCTGGCAGTCTGAGCCTACCTCACATAGTGCTATGATACCCTACCTCACTGTCTCTTAGGTTTGTATCACCTCCAAACAAAACCACAGTATCCCTACTAGCATTGGCCATTTCCTCGAGTGCAATCTTGAACTGTTCCTTCCGTTCTGCATGTTTCTCTTTTGTGCTCTCTAGGTGAGAGTTCATGAGAAGGAGATCAAGTCCAGCACACTTGACCTTGGGTCAAAAAAGAAGTTTCATTTATCACTACAATTAAAATGGAAGAATGATTGGTTTGCAATGGTCACAAACACACTCTTATCATACAAGAACATCTGGCCATTTTATAGCTCTGCCAGGACAGAAGGTGCCCAATGTCCATGGATGGGCAAGAAACAGGTGCTAGCCAGGGTTCATTTTAATAGATCCTTGGTCAGGACTGCAGGTTGGGCGCTGGCTTGGATTCCAATTACAACTCTTCTCTTGTTTAAAGAACATAGGCCCCCATCTTTCATGTTATAAATATATAAATAACCCTTTTAAAATTAAACTTAACTTTAGCCTAGTGTTTGCTATTACCCATATCAAAACAGTTCTACATGATATTTATCATTGCTTTTTACCTGAACTTTTTGTAGCATCCTCATCATTGTCGTATTCTCAAATGGCTGAACAGAATTTGACAGAATTGTGACTGAGCTTTTTTTAAACATCATAGCAGTGAAATATGCAGTATTACTTGTCTTTAACACCTTGTACCTTTGACATCGTTTCTCAATGTATGATGCAGTGTCAACAATTACCTCCTGGAGAAACACAATATCTGGATCTAGTCTGAAAGACACAAATTGGAATGCAATGGAATTGTAAGATTAAAATATGTTTGGTCTACATAGAGGGCTTTCCCCTTAAATCCACCCATCCCCTGAATGAGTGTGTATCACTCCACCATCTTCATTACAAACTTTCATTTTTAACAACAGATTATAATTAACTTCTCCATACTCCCACAAATGTGTCTAAAATGCATGTTACATGTCCTCTTAAATAATAAAATCCCAAGGGCCTAGCAACGGTAAGTGCTACCTTTCTATAGTACTACAGACTGCTTTGGTTCGGTGCATCAGATCTTTATCATCCAGACCATCAATATTCCATGTTACTAATTTGATCTTCTTTTCACCTTGTTGTTGAGTTGTGCTTCCACCGCAGCTGCAACATACAAAACAAATATTATTACAAATTTATCAAAAATATTCATTTAGTTGCATTTTGATTTTGTGTCATTCATCTTAAGTTCTTTCAGATAATGGAGTAAAGTAGAGTATTAAACCGCGTACACACTGCGCCCAAAGTCGTCGGCCGACGCATTTCTATGAAGAACGTGACCATCGTACGATGCACTAAGTGCCCAACTTTTTAACGCCACAGAGAAAAGTAATTGTTGTAGATCCCACTGGCAGCTTCATTCAATGCAGCTTCACAATTCGATAGAGGCCTGGGCTACTAACCATGTGACTCTATGTGCCACTAGGGGCTGCAGCTGCATAGCTCAGTGCTGCCCTCTGTGGAACTAAAGCCGGGTACTCACTGCATGTGACAGCGAAGTGACGGCAACACGGCGACGAACGCACGCAATGGCGTGGAACCAATGGATTGCTTTTTAATGAGGATCCGTTTTGAACTGCCACTGACAATCAGCAGATGGCGTTACATCATCTACCGTTCGCCAGAAGCAGAGGTGGATTCGTTGTGTGACGGTCGTACGACGTAGAAAGTGCCCGGCTTAAGTTTGACCAAAATTCAGCAGTTTTTTTTTTTCATCTTTCAGATTTTGTGGGGTTGTTTTTTGTTCTCGGGGTCTTCAAAAATCATTTAAAAAAAATGTATTTATACCCACAGGAAGCAACATGTTATTCTGACAATGATGTAATGATACTGTGTGGTTTCAGCTCAAGAGAGATGTAAACAGGACACCCAGTCAAGTCTGATCCATTACCTATCTTTAGCAGACAGACTTGCTGCAGCTGCTTCCATGTCATCAGGTTGATTTGCCACTGTGTCAAAGTATAAATTGATTGCATCCTATCAAAAGATTTCAAAAAATAAAACTGTTGTCTAGATTGTGAGACTGTAAAAGTAAAATAAACCTTTTATTTATCCTTGGTTTAAATACCCCCAGAGCAGGCATCAAAGTGGTTCAAGGCAGTCCCCAACTGTTTAGGGTGCACATAATTTCCTACTACTAGAAAGCAAGCCAAATTGGCCTGGTGCATCCAATACGGATTTTTACTCAAGGTTGGGATTTACTTTTCTGAGGTATCCTGGGTGAATTTACCAAATAGACGTGTCATTTCCTGACTTCCATTAGCAGGGGTGGCAATTTACCAAGCAGGTAGGGTGGATAATTTTCCAGCCGGAATTACGAGTTTCATTCCATGCCACAAAATTGATCGCCAGAAAATTATCTTACCCACTCCTAAAAAAAAAAAAAAAAAATCACATGGGGATCACAATCCTGCTGGAAAATTCACCACCCCTGCTGTGAAAATGAATACCTACCTTTAAAGCATTCTTTTACCCGGCTGGGATCATATCCCGGCAGGGCCCACTCCTCTTCTTATCAGTTGTAGATATTCCCACCTGTCATGCAATTTCACTATACCTGCCACTGTGGTAAAAAATATTCCTAGTAGCAAATAATTAAATGTTACGCCGAACCCGTGCGTGCGTCATCATAATAGGTCAGGTAGGCACCCCTAGCAAAGATCGTATAGCGCCTATACGATCTTTTCCCCTAGGCCCATTCCCTGATTTGCTCAGTGTTTAAAATAGGTGCCGCGTAACCTGCTAGCTACAAGAAATGTATGTGCCTAGGGCCTAGGCTGGGGAGAGGCCTAGGTTAACACTAAGCTTACCACAACTTGCCAGTCTTTCTTTTGTAAATATTCAAGTGCTTCATCTTCAGTAGCTCCAGTTACGAGACAAAACTCTGCGAAAAGACTTGCAATGTGATCGTCAACCGTAAACGCAGCCATATTACAATATGTTTCCCTTCACAAATGTGTTGACGATATTTAACACAACATCAAGTAACTCTGCACGCTTCAACGAGTTCATCACCACGTGCTGTTTAAGTAGGTCTGTTTTGAAGTGTGCATGGTGACAGGGTCACGTGCAGGGTATCTAGAAGTTTTGAAAATGGTGGAGGCTGAGAGCTCAGAGTGGGATCGATAGATATTCACACCCACCTCAGCCCCATCATGGTTGGAGCTGAAGCGAGCAAATTTCAAGGAGGCCCCCTTTAGACGCTCGAAAATTAGGGCCAGATTTAGGTTCCCCCACCCCGCCTCCCCTTTTGGGAGGTTAAAAAAATAAAAATAAAATAAAAATAAAGAAAAAATGATAGCCCAGAACGCCTCAAATGTTATTTTCGGGCGTCTACAATTTCGAGGGGGCATGCCCCCGAGCCCCCTAGGACGGTGTTGTCTGTCGGCCCAACTTTCGTCCCCTTCCCCCTTTTTGGACATCTCTGGATCCGCCCATGGAAAAGGCACCCTCAGATGGTCAATGCTTTTTCAAAGCAGCGTTACTCGACAAAATTAATTGACTTCTTCCCGACGGGCTATGCTAAGTCCCCTGCATTAGACACCACTCCTCTCACGGGCGTCGCAATTAGGTTTAATCAAGGACCTATTCAGATACAGCTACAGATTAAATTTATTGTCAAATGTAAACATACAGTACAATGAAATAGTATCGGCTCGATGTACGCAATATAAGTAATTTAAATAACATGAGTAACTACTATACAGTGAGACAAACAGTTAATTTCTGGATACCAACCACGCATCTTTGATGGCAGACGGAAAGAATGAAGCTCTTGATCTTGTACGAGATGCGTATGGGGTTTTGTAACATTGACCATATGGCATGAGGCAAAAATTAAAATTACCGGGATGAAAAGAGTCGTTGATGATGGACGTTTGCCTTATTGATGATACGTTGAGTATACAGAGTGTCTAATAAAGGTTGTTTTTTACCGATTACTCGAGAAGCACGTTTGACAATCCTGCTTCTTAATTATCATCATATTTAGCATATTCATACAAAACTAAAAATATCCTATTTTATACTGGGAGTCGCAAAGCAAATTATGATTATGGGGCACATCTAGATATCGGGAAATGCACTCATTCAGACATAATATTTGAATATTTTATTTTAAAAATGTTTACAAATGTAGGGGTCCTGGCCGGCTGGGCACCCCACCCCCACTGGATTAATATGATGCTATGTCCTACAGTCGATGTCCAGTGACACATTATGCTGTTGTGTCAACAAAGCACTTGGATCAGGGTGCTATATAGAGCGAGGAAAATTTAGGGGTTTCAAGGGCTTATTCAATCGATTTTGGAGTCTACTATGTAGAAAATAATTTTTTTTTTTTTTTCTCACGAACGAATTGTGGTTTTTTTCCCCGACAAGGGTGGGAGGGGGGAGCTGCAGGAGTACAGTAGTTTCATGATGGAACTACCCTGGTAGTCATAAATCAGGCTCGCCATATGGGAAGCAGTTTTTCATTTGTCACAGGGCAAAGAGGCGAAAGTTCACACCACCCCCTTCCCTGTGGGGGGAAAATTATCTCCCAAAACGTCTCAGAGGTTATTTCCAGGCGTCTAGAAAAACAAAAATGTCGCGGGGAATTCCCCCGGACCCCCTAGGGTAGTGTTATCTCGATCAGCCCCACTATCGGACATCTCTGGATCCGTCCCTGCTACCCCTTGACCTCCTTAGCCAGGGGAAGATTTAGGAGGGGGCGCGGGCCCCTTTTGGAAAGTAAAAAGGAGAAAAAGAATGTTTAAAAAAGAGAAAAAGTAAATATTGATCGCCTAAAATGCCTCACAGGTGGCGTCTAGAAAACAAATACAGTATTTGTTTTCCCCGGACCCCTAGGGTAGTGTTATCTCATCCGCCACGCTTTCGGATCACCCCCCCCCCCCAACTTTCGCACATCTCTTTAA